CAGTTGTGAGACTTTCTGTTTCAGTGAGAAAGTGGTGATACTGCAGTGAAAGTTGCCAACAGGTGTAACAATGCCAGCGCTAGAAATAACTACTTTCTTACCTTCTGCTAAATGTAAGAAATGTATTGCCTTAAATGAAAAAATAATCTTATCTTCCAAACAGCAGAATTTAAGAAAACAATTGAGAAAACAAGATTGAGAAACCATATTCTGATATTGCAAAAGAGGTGTGTTTTTTTTTTCTCCTGTGGGAAATAAATATCACGTATATGCTAATGTCGGTGGCAARCTCTATTTGGAATATGTGTTGACCTGAACTTTAAAATTCCAGAATGACTTTGTAACTGCTTTATAACTGCAGGTGTGTGCAAGGCATTTTTGTCTGAGCTGGTTTATATGGGCGGATTCAGCAGCATAACTGGCAGCAAGTGTTGCTACCCCTCCACTGCACAACAGGCATGAAGCCAAGTGATTTTGGTCTCTCCACTTCGGCTACTGAGAAGTTTAAAATGTGATATGGATCAAACAGGATTATTGATAAGAGATCAGGCAGCTGGTGGCTGCTCACTTAACAGCTGTTGCTGCTTGCTGGGGTGGAGGCTCCCAGCAGCCAAGTCCCATCCAGTATCAATTACTGTTATTYTTGAAATTAGGTAGCTGAAAGGACATAGCTTTCCTGTACTCCTCCTTTCCTTCACAGAGACAGAATAAGTGATCTTTTATGTTATTACTTTTTGTCTTACAGAGTTACTGCCAAAGTTTTCTAAAACTATTCCTGAAATTTTAGACAGGAGTGATTATAATTCTCTATTTTCAAAGAGCTTATACACTGTTAAGTGGTTTATCATGTGACTGAGAACATCAAGCTTTTCTTTTGCTAGTTCTGGAGGTAGAGAATTTTACCTTAAATATCATAGTAGGCCATTTTCTGCCATGGGGAGAGCTGTTCCATTGGGCACAAACCCTTTCATTTGTCTACTTGGAAACTACCCAGCCTTGTTTAAAATCTTGGCGTGGTATTTTTTGTTACTGCAGGGTTGGAATTGAAACTGAAAGCTGTCTGAAAAAATAAGAAATTGGTCAGAGTKTAAAAATACCCATTTGTCATTCTAGGAAACTTTAAAGTTGCCCAGGGATCAAAATGAAAAAAGAAAAAACCCAACAGCTACTTAACATCTCAGAAATGGCATTTCTAGGCCATAGGTTTTAGAACAGAGTAAAGTGAACCCAGTAGCAGATATCTTCYGTTCCTGTATCTGCTGAGAAGGAACAAGGATGACTCAGTGATTCTGCTCCTAATTTATTCATGTGGATTCTAGCAGTCCTGGTTTAAACTGCAGGCTGCCTCCAGGGTATATTGCCTAAATACCATAGCCCAAACTTCTAAAATCTCTCCCTCTCCTTCCCCTTTAAAAAAAAAACCTTCTTGTGCATCCAATCCACAAACAACCAGAGTTTCCCAGGCAGAATGCAATATAAGATTCTTTCTAGCAAACCTGGGTCCTTGCTGCTCAAATTAGAGSGGTAAGTAATACAAATCCCTTCTTATGGACTGCTGCGTGGTGGGAGGCTACTTGTGGTGTAGACATTCGGTGAACGGTTGGATCTCTGTCACTTTATGTGCCCTTGACACATGGAAGTGTTGGGGTGTTTCTAGTGGAGTAGAAAGTTTAGCTTTGCTAAAACTTGAGATGCAAATGTGGGAGGGCTTATTGTTTTCACAAAACGTGCTTAAAATGCTTTTTCTAATACTAGAGTCAAAACAAAGCTCAATAATTTTGCTGATTAATGTCTGCTAATAGCAAAGAGCTACTTCAGTGACTGTTTCTCCATTGACTTTAGGAAAAAAAATTGACTGAAAAAAATGAAACTGTGAAAGTGGGATTGCATAAAGCCAGGGAGTAGCATAGTTTACAATGTTAGGACTGGCCTAGACTTGTGTGGCTGAACCTTGTAATTTGAGTGTGAATCATGTTGACTGCTGACGGGGGTGGCGCGTCACGGCTGGGCCGAGCCTCGTGGAGCGGCCGAGCTTGGGGAAGGCCTTCCCGTGGTGATGGGTCCCCAGGCAGGAACCTCCCGCACTGGSTGCATGGCAGGGGCTGCTGTTTTGGGTGGGCTCGGGAGCCGCTTGCGCAGCGGCTCCGTTGCAGAGCCCTGCCCGTGGTGCCCTGGGCACCGCAGAGCGGTACCTCAGCCCTTTCTCTGTGCAGAGGAGAATCCTCTACTTAAGATAAGCAGAAAGCTCCTGTTGATGACAGCAGCCTCTGGATCAAATCCCGGAAAAACGCACAAGAAAATAGACCAATTTTGCTACAGCTACTGTAGTCTAGCAGTTATCTTACCCCAAACTTTCCCCCTATTGTCCTGATTTTAACTCTGAAATACCATTGCTTCGTCCCCTACTGTATATTGGCAATATCTTGATGTGAGACAAACATGTGGGTCAGCTGAACTGAAGATAGCATGCAAGTTAAGCATATCCTGCTGACAGTATGCACCGCAGTCGTATGTACAGCCCTGCTCCCTTTGGGTTGTCACACAGCTGTGGCTTCTGCACTCACCACCAGTCATTCTGCAGCAAACCTTTAAAAACAACAGCAGAAGTGAGGTGGTAACTTTCTTAAACAGCACATAAATATCTAAAATATTATTTATTAAATGATACCAACACTCTCCTTTTTTATTTTTTTAATCTATCAAAACCTTCTATCTGTTTACATATTCATATTAACTCTCTGAATTGCAAGCTGTTCTGCAGGGTCACGAGACATTTTTCCTGCTGGCTGCGCTGCTGCGGAGCAGCTGGGGCTCGATAACCCAAGTGCCGTGTGGAGGCTGAATGTAAGGGTGACTCAGCTGAATATCGCGGCACACCACGAGCTCGCTGCCTTCCCCGCAGACCTGACGTGACCCCGGCGTAGATCCTCTCTGCACGTAATCAGGGAGTTTTATGCCCCAGCCGTGTGGGTTTATTAATTTGCTTCAGCATTTTGTAAATCCCTAGAAAAATTTAGGGGGGGGGGGCTGTTACTAATTTAATTGAATTGGTTGTATTAAGCTGAGAGAGAGATTCTTTTGTATTAAGCTGAGAGAGAGATTCTTTTGTTGTGTATTTTTTTTTTAAAGCTCGCAAATTAAAATGAAAGAATTTTAGAGCACTATAGAGCTTCTATAATTCTAGAATTATAGAAGAAATATAGTATATGGGCGCAGCCTGCATGTCATCTGTTCTTTCTGAGAAAGAAATCCCAAAAGGTAAAAATGAGGGGAAATGGGGAAAGGAAAGTGTTTYTAGACTTTCAAGAGAAGAAAGGAAAGCATTTTTACACTTTCAAAAGAAGTGTTTTTTTTTTTTTTTAAAGGTTAGACATGATTACCTTTATTGAGAGGGAAAAAAAATATGGCCAAGTTCAAGAGATCTAACTGATCAATGATAAAATAACAGCTGGTTGGYGTTGAGTTTAAATATTTGCAAGGTGTATATGTTCCTTTTTTATTGCACTTTCTTAAATTACCCTTTCCTCTCTTTATAATCACATTTGAACCTGTTTAATCAGTGGGAGTGGAAGACTCCAGACCTTCCTGGATGCGAGCCCGTGCTCTAGGTGTCCCTGCTTGAGCAGAGGGGTTGGACTGGATGATCTYTAGAKGTCCCTTCCAACCTCAATCACTCTGTGATTCTGTGATGAGCAAGGACAGATGCCTGGGGACCTCAGAAGCAGGGCAGTGCTTTCGGCTCCGGTGTTGTGGCCGGGGGAGCAGTTTGTCTCCTTGTGCCCGTGTGAAGCACGGGGAAGGGCGCTTGATCTTGTGACCAGCTCATGCATGTGCGGCTGCTGCATGCGACTGCTGTCACGTTCCAGTAGTGGTACCAGTGGTGTGTGCGACTGACCCTGCGAGGCAGGTGTTTTGCAGCTGCAGGTGACACTAATTAGCAACCTCTTGGGCAAGTGACTTTTTATCCGGCCTGTGTGGCTCTCAACTGAGGTGCCTGTGAGCTGCACTGCAGCAGTGGCCGTGCTGGAGCAGTGGCTGCCACAGCCCCTTCGCAGCAGCAGTTTCTTTGTGTTGCATCAGTCTGGGGAGGCAGAAGTCTCCAGTGCTCCAGGGAAATGCTCATCTCCTTGAGATGAGACAGTAACTTACTATCGCATTGTCCTGTTCTTTATCATGGGAGTTGACAACTGGGTAAAGCTTGCTAAATCAATGTTCTTTTTACTGAGTAATMTGTCATAAATAGCCCTTGTACCAGTAGTGGCAATGGTGATCACGTTTTGATTGCTATAAACATCAATTTTGTTATAAAATGTATTCTGTCTTTTCTTGTTTTCAAGAATTATGTTGAGAGAAATAGGGAAGCAGTGAATTATAGTAACTTAGATGATCTTCCTGTGGAGTAGGAACCAGGCAGCAAGGGTGAGCCCCTTCTGCTTAGCTTTGCATACTGTTCTGGGAAGTTTGCAGCAAGTTTCAGCTGGGATTGGTATGGAAAATTTTGGTGCTCTGAAGTTACTTCACATACAGTGCAGTAATAGTCTTATGCAGTTTGTTTTTACTTTTTGTCAGGTAACTCCCACACTTTTAGTTTGGGGATGGAGTGTATCTGGGCATTCTTTGTACATACACAAGTGGTTTTAGTAGGAGATACTTAGCTTTGTTCCCTTACTACTTTGCTGTGATAATGTGAAAATTCTTGGCTAGAACTGTTGAAGATCCTAGTGCTCTGTTTGAGTGAGTTKTCTTTTATGGTAGCTGCCGTATGTATAACCGATGCTACTCTCTTCTTGTGGAGGTTTAAAACTTGCGCTATTCAAAGTGCAATAAAAATATATGTSTATATATAGTAATGAAAACCATTTTAATGGAAGTCTGTATGCAGTAAGGTTCAGAGTAAGACAGATAGTGCTATTTTTTTTTCAAATACGTATGTACTTTTTCTGTGCATGTGGCTTTTTCCCCTCTCCCTCCCTTTWACTCAGTCCATTTTGTCTCTCCAGGACTGGAATCTGACATGGCACACAGAAAATCCAGACTTTACCCCATGCTTTCAGAACACAGTCCTAGTTTGGATTCCTTGCATTTACCTGTGGGTCTGCTTCCCAGTCTACTTCCTATACCTTCGGTATCATGACCGGGGATACATCCAAATGTCACACCTCAACAAAGCCAAAACGGTCTGTATTTTCTTAAAATCATAACCCTTYAAATGTATTTCTGTTACCCTTATATGAACAGACTTTCTGAACTGTACTCGGCGTGTCAGAAAGCAGGGTTGGAGAGGACCACTTTGAGTCAGCTAAATCTTGGGGCCTTTGTGTCAGCAACAAAAAGACTTCATTATTCTGTCAACTTTCAACAGACTTTTAGAGCTAATGTGAATGTTCTATTCCATTCTGTTGTGAAATTCATACTCGGTGTGTTCTTGATATTAGTTTTTCCACAGAATAAGTGGAAAGTTTTAATAAGGAATACAGTAGTTAGCTTGGAGTATTGAAGTTTGTCTTTTTTAATCTCATGTTCAGGAATGAAATTCAGCAGTTATTTGCTTGCCCATAATACACTGGGTTAGACAGTARTAAGAACAAGTATGCTTTTATTTTTCTTCCTCTGACAGGGATTTACTAGGTRAAATTAAACTACTGCTCTTCCCAAGAAGTTGTTGCTAAATACCATTGCCCCCMAAAGGTGATCTGATTATGACTCCTCTTACACTGGCGTGTTACATTTAGTGTTTGTGTGTTTACTATGCTGTTTAATCGACCTTTTTAGACTGCATGAATTGATGTACAAAATCTACTTCTCTATTTCAGGCTTTGGGCTTAGTACTGTGGATAGTCTGCTGGGCAGACCTTTTCTACTCTTTCTGGGAAAGAAGTCAAAATATTTTTCGAGCTCCATTTTTTCTCATTAGCCCTACAGTCTTGGGTATAACAATGGTAAGTTTTGTTATACTTTTGGTGATGTAAGACCTTGAAACAGTCTTATTACTCACGGAGTTGTAATTCTTTAAGCTGCAGTCTTTATTCACACACATACTTTGCAATTGAGTTGGGAAATATTGATTCTTGATGTTGCTCTTCTTTAATATATAAAAGAAAACAGCTCTGCTCAGTATGTTGCATGTCAGCATGTAAGTAGATGGTAGTTATCTTGCTTTATTTTGGCATTTAAAAACTTGCTTCTAACATTGGGTGGAGGAGTCAAGACAGGAAGCCTGATTAAGCCGAGATATTACAACTCAGACTTACCAAATGTTGGAACACTGTTGAAGTCTTCTTATATGTCACATTACAAACTTGTATTGCATGTGGCGGATTTTCAGTGCATGTTTTCTTCCAAGTTATTTGATGGGGGAAAGTGAAATGCAGCACAAGTCCCCAGCTAACATTTTCTGCTTAAATSTTAGACGTAGTCTGCCTCTACTTTAATATTGCTTTAACCCCTATTGCACAGAAAGACTTGCAGTTCATTTGTTGGCAGTTGCTTTAGATTTATTGCAGACTTGGAATACTGATGCAAGTGTGAAGCTTTTATGAGACAGATTAAAAATGCATGTTGCAGTGGCCAAATGAGATTATAAATTACTCCAGCTTCATACAGAGCTCTGAAAATGCTCAAAATACAGTGTTAGAATGATGTTTGGTCAGTATTGGTTGAGGTTTTGTGTTTTGAAAGAAGCAGTCACGAAGTACTTAGCACTTAATCYTTTACTGTTTCAAGGATTTGCAATTTAAACTTTCTTTTGAGTTGTACTTGAACTAAATGAGATGCACTGAAAATATCCGTATGTTAGAATGCCTGGGAGATACTAGGCCTGAAAAGTAAAATAATAACACTTTAACATAGTACTTTGTATATGTGACTTGTAGAATTGAAACCTTGTGAATATATTTTTGTTATCTATCCACAGTTGCTTGCTGCRTTTCTAATACAATATGAAAGAATAAAAGGAGTCCAGTCCTCAGGTGTAATGATGATTTTCTGGTTCATCTCATTGTCATGTGCCACAATAATTTTTAGATCCAAAATAATACATGCCTTAAATACGGTAAGTGATTTTTAGCCTCATGCAATTGGAAGTAATCCCAATTACCACAATAACAGAATAGTTGCTTGCTAATCATGCTGTCAGTGTGTGAGATGCTAAGTCAGTTAATGATCCGTTTGGTGTACTTTCGTTTCTATAAAAGCAAAGTTAAACTTACTGGCTCTTGTSTTTCAAGTTTTAAAATGCTAATGAAATTTCTAATGATTTTACTGTAGCAATAGTTGCTAAGACGAGTTTGCTAGATATACCAGAAAGGGGATATTTCTGCTAGAACCCTATAAAAGTTCATAGTGCTTGATATGAAGCTGTTCTGGGAGATGATGTCATCTTCCTGTTGATTATGCAGTGGATTTCCTGAAACGCTGGCTTTAATTTCAGTTTGGTCACATGTATCTGCTGAGACAAAATGAAAGGGTGCAAGTGAAAACTTTTTAAGCAGTCAATTTTATATTAAAACTACCTCAAATATCAGTAAACCTTTACCTTCCTTTGCAGGATGCTGAAGTGGATGCTTTTCGTTATGCGACCTTCTGCAGCTACTTTGTCTTGGTACTTGTACAGCTCATACTGTGCTGCTTTCCAGAACAGCCACCTTTGTTTTCTGAAACAGTAAATGATCCTGTAAGTGCTCAGTCTATACAGAATCTCACGTACCCTGCCTGAAATGTTCTATATAATAAGATACAAGGTCATCTTCTCACAGGTACCAAATAATTCAAATCTTACTGACCTGAGTCTGCAATGTTGTGTTCCTTCTGCTCTTTTTCTGGTGAAGCAGATGAAGCTTGTAACGTGCAAAACTGTGGGCTATATTTGAGAGAGAGAAAGTACTTTTTCAGTCATTCTTGAGTAGTATTCCAGGTAATTTCATACATTCATATTCAGTAGTACTTCTGGCAATTAGTGGGGTAGACAGATTTGAAAGACCATCTGTTATCCCCCGTCTTTCATCTGGTACCATCCAGGAGTCAGTAAACTCATAATGATGTTTGCTCCTTCTGTGCGTGGGGAGGCAGAGTCTACATCTGGACAACTTGTGTTTGGTTTAACTGCACTTGACTTTCCATATATATCTCTTGTGCTAAGCAACGATTTAACTAGTTAAACTGAAAGAGCCCTATCAGCCACAGAGATAGCAGTTACAGAATGTTCTGGATATAAAAATCAGCTCTTTAACAAGCAATGATTGTTTTATGCAGGCTCTTAGTTATACTTGCCTGCTGTGCAGCCTGGATTTAAAGTGACCCAAGTGGCGCAGGGTATTTATTTTGCTTTTTCATCCATGGTTGTATTTTCTGAGTCACAGTGGAGTGGCTTCCATCACTGCCTGGAGTGCGGTGGATGTGCCAAGCTTAGAAACCTCAACTCTCCTGTCAAAGCAGGATCGCCCGTTTTTAGAAAAGGATATTAGCTGACTCTGGATGAAGGAAGTCTGAAACACGMGAGGGGGCCTAGATGTGTTTCCAGTCCTTACAAAGGGCCCTAACCAGTTACGCTTCCTGACTCCATAGTCACCTTCCCCTTCAGAGCCCATCGTGCCAGTGATGCTCTGCGTTACCACCACAAACTGTGTGTGTGTGTGTGTGTGTGTGCGCGCGCCTGGAGAGAGAAGAGTGCACTGCTGACTCTAGGGGTTCTTTTCATGTTTGGGTTCTTTTCATCTCATTCAGAGTTGAAATGTATTTGAATGGACACTGCGGATTTATGGAAACCTTTTCTGCTTTGATCACAGTTAAAGTAATTACAAGATGCTTTGAGTAGGCGTTAGTTTGTTTTTTTGTTCTGTTCCTGTGAAGCTGGGCAAAGAGAAATTATAAGCCATTTTTTGTGGGTGGCATGTTTGTTTAACTCTTTTAATAAAAAATATACACTGCAAATAATTACACTCATGATAGAAATCTGCTTTATTTCCTTCTGAGAAGCATTTTCAAAACAAAAAMTTAAGTTTTTAAAGTAAACATGTGGTATCAGTGAAACTTCTCAGATGTAGATAGGTGCCGTTTATACAAATGACTTAATGTATATTATCTCTTGTTTTTAATTTGCTTGTGACATGTAAGTCCAGATATATTATAGCCTCAATTCTTTAATTGAACATTCTTTATTCTATCTGGCACAAATTAATAGTTAGGATTAATAGTTCTTCAATACAATTTATGATGAGGTAGGTGTTTAAAACAATTGATTTCAATCAATCTTACACAAACAGCATATTGTTTTTAAACAAGTGAAGTCCAATTGTTGTTAGTAAAAGAACTGGTTGACTATTTAATCTAGATTTTCCATCAAAAAAAGTAAATAGGAAAGAATGCATTTTTTATTAAAAATAATTCTATAAAATTTAGTATATCTAGAAATTTTCCTCGTTTAGAAAATATTCTCTGTATTTGCTGAGCAGAAACTTCTCCAGTAGGAACGCTGAAGTGGCTACCAGATAAAAATAAGCTTTTTATTTATTTGTAGCTTTTCAAGTTACTTGAAAAACTTTGTTTGCTAAGACAGTATGTTTCAGTTTCTTCCAAGTACTTGTAGCAGAAGAGTTGCAAATGTTGAATGTTTAGCCCTTTTGAAAAASATCTCATGAACACTCTCCTCTTTGATTACAATATTGTGGATTTTCTTTTTAAAGTCTGGACTGAGGAGGCAAAATGCAGAAATCTGTTTTATGTAGCTTTATTGCATAACACTTCTAAATAAAGCTTAATGAAAAAGCTGAGTTATATTTGCATGCACTGAAAAATGCAGTTCTGGAAAAAAAAAGAATTAAAAAGGCTCAGGCCATTTTCTTCACTTCAGGAATCTAATTATGTTTAGTAACTTTTGTAGCTGGAGATACCTATATTGCTCCTATTATAGTTTGTGATAAAGACAGTGGCTTATATGCCAAAGAAGTGGTTGGGTTTTTTGCATTCCTTAAATGCTAATCAGAGTAGTGAAAGGAGAGAGAAATCTCTACTGGAATTTTGCAAGTAATTCACCTTTAGTCCCTTTTAAATTCTTCYGGTGTTTTTCTTTTAATGTTTTAATCCATTCAGATCACTCTTCAAATTTTTTTTAAATGACTTAAATTTTAATATCTTGAAAATAGYGTAGAGGAACTATTAGGAAAAGGGGGGATAGTGGAATTTCATTTGATTGCAGAGTAGATCCAAGCATAAATCTGTCTTTAATTCTTGTATGTGTGGTTTTGTGTTTTGTTTATTTTGTACATACGTGTCTTTGATTTTATTTACTTTGTTGATACCTGACTGTATTGGGGTAAAGGCAATATGCTAATTTACTTATGGTTCGAAAAAGCTGGTCAGCTTGGGCTATCCTTCCCTGAAACTGCRTTTCACTAGGGTTTTCACCACTAGTTCTCTAGAGCAATAGTGACTAATTTAGTAATGTGGAAAAAATGTAAACAAAAGAAATGTCAAAAGCATCTCTTTCTCTTCCTTAGAATCCATGTCCTGAGTCCAGTGCTTCTTTCCTCTCTAGAATCACGTTCTGGTGGATCACTGGGTAAGAACAAGATGCTACATAGAGATACAGTTAAAATGAGATAACCTTTTAGAATTCTACGTTGTGACTTAAATTACAGTAAACATTACAAAATTTTAAAAATTACAGTTTATTTGGTGAATAGACTAATTAAAAAACCGTATATTTCCTTTCTAACTTTGAGTTTTGCTAGAAGTGTATATTTAATATGCCTGCTAAAAGACTGTAATCAAATGATTATTTTGGTGGAGAAAATGAAGAAATAGAAGAAGTAGAAATTAAGGAATTTAAAACTGATAACTCTTCAGAATGCTCTCTTTTTTTTTTCATTAACTTATCTTTTGTTATGCCCTATGACTAGATTAAAATGCAGGTGTTGTGAATTAAAATGTACAAGCAAATGTACAAAAGTAGCATTAGTCATACTGTTGCGGTTGGTACTTGGCCAGAGTTCCAATAGAAAGGTAGATGAAAGGAGTTGCTTTGTAAAATTAAAGGCTAATAAAGATTCTGCAGCGTGGTAAGCATGGGAGTATTAACTGCCGAGCTCACTTTCAAATCTGATCACTTCTTTCTTTCTCATATTCTCACCAAAATTTAAATTTAGTGATTCATAATCCTCGGTGGCTAATTCTCCCAGTAAAGGGCAGGATGTGCTTACCTAAGCTTTTCAACACCCAGACATGTGTTTGTGTTTTGCTCCAGGTATTAGTTCTTGCATATTTTTCTTTGTGAAGAGCTGGCTCTGTTCTAGGGGTGGATGTAAGGACCACTGTCTTATAGCATGTAAATACCTGGTTTTCTTAAATACACAATTCTCTTTATAGGCTGATGATACAGGGTTATCGGACGCCTTTGGAAGCCAAGAATTTGTGGTCGTTAAATAAAGAGGATATGTCTCAGGAGGTAGTGCCAGGTTTGGCTAAGAACTGGGCAAAAGAGTGTGCAAAGACAAAGAGGTGAGTTGAGTTRTCCTATCACTGATCAATTTAAAGTTCTAGTTAACAGAACTAAAACTAATCAGTAAAGAGTCCTCTTGTTAAAATATTTGAATTTTATGTAAACACAAAATGATAAGAAAAAGGAAACAGCTGTGAATGTGTTGTGGAAATACTCAACTTTGGTTTAGACATATTTGTCAAAAGTTTTCAAGCTTGCTTTTGTAGGGGCCAAGCAGTGGCCCTGGATTTCTCAAATGCATTGAGAATRGGAACAAGGGCCTGTGTGTCTTTGTGGGTGAGTTTTTTTTGTTTTGTTTGCCTCTCTTAAAAACAATTTTCTTGTAATCTTTCGTGGTCCAAAGCAGATGATTGTAATTTTTGATGTGTGAGTTGTTCTTCAGGGCTGGATGGGAGTCTTCACATGTTTGAACTTCAGCCACGTTTTGGGAGAGCTTGGGCTCCCTCTGTCGTAAGTGGAGACTCCAGAAGGGCAGTTCAGGATGTAGATGTGGGGAGTTTCTTTCTTTCCTTCGGTTATATTGGGAGCATGGACACCTCAGTGACATAACTAAAATTAGGACTGCGTGCCTGCAGTTTCCATCCTGCTTTCATCATCCTTTATTGCAGCAAACAGAAATACCTTTTCATTGATGGAAGAGACTTTCTTGCTTACACATTCATTTTTTTTTCCACACAACTTGTTCTCAGAGGTTCCAGAGTATTCAGTTTGGCATAAACCAGACCTGTRGAATGGATGCGTTCAGCTCATTAAGGAAAACTTGGCATAAGTCTGACTGGAAACTTTTGAATCTTGTGGTACAATGAACCCATGACATTGATGAAGACCCAGCATACTGAGTGGTAGAACCATAACATCCAAAAACCTCACGCAGCTCAGACTTGAGCACAAATTGAGGACCTGTTTCTCATTTCCCTATACAGAACTGTATTCATAGCAGGCATTCTTCAGGAATATTGCCTGCATGTACAAAAACAACCTGTTTTTGAAGGACCGCTTCTGGTAGTTATGGTTTTATGATTAAAAGATGTTGGTTGATGAACGGTAAAATCCCAAGTTAACCCGTTAAGAAGGACAGTAGGATGCCATCCCTGTTGCTAGGACACTGGAGTTGCTAAAATGAGGGATGATGTCAGAGGTGGATCCACTGTGCTGGCAAACATCAGAAATTTTTAACTCWTTTGTAGCTAGAGTTGAAAGAAACATCTCATTTGGATATTATGCATTCTTCCAGCTGATTTTCTACATGCATAAAGGCTATGTTATGTATGTATAATGTATTTTATTTCTTMTTTCAGGCGACCATTAAACATGCTGTACTCGCCCAAAAAGCAGCAAAAATCAAATGACTCAAGTGATGATATGACAGAAGAGGCTGAAGCTTTAATTATAAAACCAACTCAGAGGAACTCTGAGGCATCTTTATTCAAGGTGTTATATAGAACTTTTGGACCATATTTCATCGTGAGCTTCCTATTTAAAGCTGCACATGATCTCTTGATGTTTGCAGGCCCAGAAATTCTAAAGTAAGAGTTAAACACTTGATATTTTAGTTACCAAGTGCTTGTGTGGTTGTAAAATCAATACTATGTTTGAAATAATCTACAGTTATAACCTTGAATRTTTTTGCCTTGCATTTATCAACATAGCTTGCTCCTCTTTTCACAGATTGCTAATCAAGTTTGTAAATAACAAAGATGCTCCAAATTGGCAAGGCTACTTCTACACAGGACTTCTATTTGTTTGTGCCTGTCTTCAGACACTGATTCTACACCAGTATTTTCATATTTGCTTTGTGACTGGAATGAGGCTCAAAACAGCAATTGTTGGTGTAATCTATCGAAAGGTAGGTGTTTCTTTAAATATAAGATCTGTGTGACTGTGATTGCACTGATTAAAATTCAATAGTTAAAAGCAGTTAGGAGACACTGCTAGGCTGATTGCCAACTCTTAGTAGTTGAGATGGAGTAAGAAACCTTGCAGGTAAAGCAACTTTCGAATTTACTGCTGGAAGTTCTTTTTCTATCCACCCACAAATAAGAAACCTCTTCATTTTGACAAGGAGTGAAACTGTTTCCGTTTGTGTGAAAATATATTTACAGCTTCATTAGTGACTTTAACAGGCAGCACCACTTCATCCTCGAATAGGATGGTACATTTTTAGAAAGCTGTGATTTTTTTCCTTAGACCTTTTTAAAAAAAAAAAAAAAAAAAAGGCAAAACAAAACAGTCCCAAAATGAACAACCTTGAACAGACTTTCCTCTCTATTAATTTAACACCAAACACTTCTTTCAAGCTACACAGTTTGTATTTTGTGAAAATGTACAGGGCAACTGGAATTTGACGCGTGAAAACCATTGCTTGTCATTTTAAATATGAATCATTGTAAAGCAATTTCAATTYAGTTGACAAAGTATAAATAATACAAACCAGTAAGGTTTGTTTGTTTCTTAATGCTGTGTTACTGTTGATCCACACCTAGGCACTAGTTATCACAAATTCTGCCAGAAGGACTTCTACTGTGGGTGAGATTGTGAATCTAATGTCTGTGGATGCTCAGAGATTCATGGACTTGGTTACCTACATAAATATGATTTGGTCTGCACCTCTGCAGGTGATATTGGCACTGTACTTACTGTGGCAGGTGAGTATCGTGTGTTGTTTCCTGTTTTTAATTGTGGCTTCCTGGGGTCATAATTTCAGAAAACACTTGTTTAGCCTGTGAACTGGAGGGTTTAGAGCACTGAGCAGTGACTATGCTGTTTGTTCAGAAGCCGTTTAGAGCTACTTCTGTCATTGCCATCAGGAAGGAAGGTAGGAGGTTCTCGGATTGCAAGTCCGAGTTCTCTWTATACTACATATGCTGCTTCTGCAAAGAAGTGAACTTGTATTTTGATATGCCTTTTGTTCTTTCCACCCTCTCCTAGAKTTAGTTCAGGCAGTTCTTCCTGTTTCTTGTCCTTAAACCACTTTCTTGCTTGTGCTGGTGCAATTCTTTGTGTTTGAGTGTTTATGTGACTACAAGCTTACAAGCAAGTTTTTTTTTCTCTGCAGAATTTAGGTCCATCTGTGCTGGCAGGTGTGGCTGTCATGGTCCTCCTGGTTCCAGTAAATGCTGTGATGGCAATGAAGACAAAAAACTATCAGGTAAGAAACTCTATATTCTCAATGCATGGTTTTTGAGGAAGAATGACTAGAGACATTACATATGCATATGCAAAATAGCTGGAACTAGCACATTTTTCAGCAGGTCTATACCTAATGATACAAAAATTTTGCAGCGGTAACATGACTGTAGCACTAGCTACCTTCAATACCTGATCATGAAATGGAAATAGTTTAGTATTTAACTCGCTGCTTAAGAACTTGAGTGCAAAGCTGGGCCATCATCTGCCTAATGAGCCTTAAAATGAGCAGAGTGTTTATGTATCCACTATGGGGCTTACAGTGTTGGCAGGTTGCTGTTCTTGATGGGGGAAAGAAGGAAGGATCTTCAGYCACTGTTTTTTCTTCGTCCTGGATGGATTTTAGTTAGAGGGAGTTCAGTTGGTTGCTGAGGGAGCACCTTATATAAACCCTGTACCAGGGCAGTCTGCTAGCSTGGTCTGGTGCTGGCACTGAACATCCTTTTACCTTTGCACCATGTTAACATGCCCGTGTTAAGATGTCTTCTAAAATTCCCTTCCTCATGTTAGACTGTATTCTTTCTGCTGTGTACAAAGCTTTACCTTAGGCTAACATCAGAAAGGCATGGGTAGTGCTGAGTGTTAAAGCAAAAAAAGAAGTTAGGTCTAAGGTAGACATAAATCAAGTATTGCAAACTTGATCACAGTGACTTTTATTTATTGATTTAAACTGTGCCTTGTACCTACGAGGAGTCTGAATCCAAGGGCTTTCTGGTGCAGGGACGCTAGTCCCAAGTTATTTTGACACTGGTTCAAATTGTAAATTGTACAAAGCATTCTTTTAATTGGCTTAAAATGTCTTGTTAATTCTGTGCATTTGTTTGTTCAGATAGCACCTCTGCTTTCCTGCTCTGGGAAGCTGGTAAGCTTTTGAGAATAATGAGCTTAATTTTGCTATGGCAAAATACAAAGCTAAGAACTTTGTGGTTCTGCCAAGTGTTGTGGTCTGCTAATTATTTATTGCAATGTTTCTTTTAGGTAGCTCAAATGAAGAGCAAAGACAATAGAATTAAGCTGATGAATGAAATTCTCAATGGGATTAAAGTGTTGAAACTTTATGCCTGGGAATTAGCCTTCAGAGAGAAGGTATTAAAGATTAGACAGGAAGAGCTGAAAGTCCTAAAAAAATCTGCTTACCTTGCTGCAACRGCCACCTTTACATGGGTCTGTGCTCCCTTTCTGGTAAGTGAAACAAATTTGGGAGTGTGTTTTCCTGTTYGAGATAATGCTGCCCAAAGCAGTGCCTAACAACTCAATTTGCTTTTGTTTTTTAATTAGTGGAAAGGTCTGTCTGTTCTCCACAGCAACAGGAAATTGAGCATTTGTATTTTGAGCAAATGTAAAACAAATGCTCTTCTACCAGAGCACTTCTGTCTTCTCTGCATCTTAGTAACACCCAAATTGATGTATTGTGGAAGCTAATGACCAAATTAAGGGGAAAAAAAAACCCTAAAACCCAGAGCTACTTTTGCTGGTGTAATTTAGTGTCCTCGGGTTAAATGTATTATCAGAATATTAGGAGTGTACTAATGCATGCAATGCCCTCTACCTGATATCTGTGGCTGACAAAAGAGTAGAACTTGCCCTGCTCTATCTGCATCTTTGTGAAAGAAACAGGCTCTTAAAGAGTCTTTGAGCAAATGGAACATTGCGCAGCCGTCATTCTTCAGGTATCTGCTTCCCTGCATCTGTTTATGAACAATATGGAGAGGTAAAGCTTGTTATGTATCCTGGGATTATTTAAAATTCCTATTTAAAACAAAAATTCTTAATATGTGAAACATCTCTGCTGTGTTTGTAGCTAGCTTACATTTAAACCAATAAAGGGGAGAGAGGGGTGAGATCACATCAAAATTGCTTTTGACCCTGTTAGAACAAGGGGCAATTGTTCTTGTCTGCAGAGGCAAATAAACCATGACTACATTAGGATAAAATATGTACTGTTCCAGTTGGAGGTGTTTAAGTGTACTTTCCAGACTCAGATTCCTTCCTTCCAAATGCTGTTAATGTTTACATTTCATTTCGGGCATGATGAAAGGCAGAAGATCAGTGCCCTGCATAGGAAACTTCAGCCGCATTCTTAAGTGAGTGTTTTTCTAAAAGGAGTCTGAGATGATTTTAACATAAATACATTATTAAATGAAGTTTCTAAATAAAACTCTGCAAGTGGACTCCTCGATACTGTTCTGCAGAGACCGAGGAGACGAATGCTTGTAGTGAGTAGCTCGGTTTCAGCGTGCGGTGGTTCTGCACCTTGCAGACTTGCTGCTGGAGTAGAGCTGATGTAGCCCAAAGGGCACAGCTGTGCTTCAACAGCCTCTTCTCAGAATTTCCCCACCCTCAATTTGTATTCTTTAGTACACATTCTTCTGAGATTCTGATTAAAGAATTACTGCAGGTACCTCCCTGAAAGTGTGTTTTTCATATGCAAAATTCCTTATTTCCTCTCCTCCTTTTCCTGTTTGTTTCCATGGCCAGGACTCTTTAAAACGTTGTTTATTAATAGTGTCTGGAAGCTATTGTGCAGCACCTCCCCTACGGCTGTGTGTGCTGATAAGAGTGTTTCCAGCCAGTTGCTGGTAACACAGGCGCGCAGGCATGCTGCTTCTGAGGTTATTTTTTGGACTCTTTCATGTTTTTTTTCTCTGTGGGAGGGCTTTTCTTCCCTAGGGTAGAGTTGTCCCAATAAAGGATTATACAAACAAGCTACTGTACCGAGTCAGCAGCTGTAGGCAGAACAATATATCCCTTCACAGCAGTCAGGGCTTTAAAAGAAATAGTGATGTTTTTCAATRGATACTGTGCTTAGGTGATACATTTGACTTTTGAGTTTCTTTTTTTTTTTTCTTTTTTTTTTCCCCTTCAAGTCATAGAAGAGGGGCCATGGCAATGCTCAACCTATCCTGCCTTGTTTTAAGTGGTAGTGACAGAAAGAGTTACTGGATCTTGTGATGCACTAAGGTATAAGTGATGTAACCGTGGAAGAAAACACTGCAGAGGGAATGGATGTGAAAATGCATGTTTGGYATGGTTATGAAGGACTGTACTTTGAGGGTGGGGTAAGGGAGACCTGACTTATTAATTGACAAATTCTGTGCGATTTTTAGGTTGTGGAAGACTTTGTTTTTAAGATGAACTGTCATTTTGAGCAATTTAATATTTTTTTACCTGTTCAGAAGGTGACTCGAGCTTTTCTGTTGTAAAGTGTTTTCTAGGAAGCTAGAAATATCCCTGCATTATGAAAATGAAGTTTCATGMTACCTAAATAAGCTGCCCATGATGAGGGGCCTGTGCCTTGAAACACAGGATTGTGGTGGTCCCTGCAGAATGTAGATGGGCAGTACTGGCCTCTTCCAAGCTCTTCAGTCTGCCAGTCTTTGTTACTGATCCAATATCTGGTACAGTGGAGTGACTCATAACTAAACGAGAGCAGAAAAAAAAGAGAAGTGATCGTTCCTCTCCTCCCCTTCAGCAGTGTGACCACGCGTGGCCTGGGACACTTGTGACTTCAACGTTGGCATATGAGGAAAATGAGCACGTGACCCTTTATCAAAACTTTCCAAGAGGCGCCAGCAATTTCTTTATACAACAATACAGTTTAAATCAAATGTTTGTTTTGCAAGAAGTGTTTTATCAGAAACAAGGATGTTGCTGAACATTCCTCTCTGCCTAATTCATTTGGAGACCTTTCACTGCAGTTCTCGGACTCTRTGGTTTAAAAAGGCTACTCTAACTGTGAGCAATATATTTTGTGTTTCAGGTTGCCTTGTCCACATTTGCTGTGTATGTAATGATAGACAAAAACAACGTCTTGGATGCTCAGAAGGCGTTTGTATCGTTAGCATTATTCAACATCCTCAGGTTTCCACTGAACATTCTTCCTATGGTTATCAGCAGCATAGTAGAAGTAAGCCTTCTGTCATTAATGGGCTCTTCTGTGCAGAAATGGGCATCAGGTGGAAAAATTGTGTTCTTGTGCTTAGAGAATATAAATAGGTTATATTTGGGCACCTCAGAAAAGAAACTTTGCATTTTCTGCATGTGAAGTGCTGTACAAGCAAAATTATCAGTCCGATCATGGTGGATAGATGTTTCCAAAAGCAGTTATTTCTTGTGTTTTGAGAAATGTCCATTTGGTCACTATGTGAGAAACTAGTTTTAAGGAGGGTTTGGAAGTGCCTAGTAGTTTAATGTGATATAAAAACAGAAGCTCATCAATTATAATGAATTAAATATAAGAAAGGTTTCCATCCTTTTCCCATGTAGGCCAGTGTGTCACTGAAGCGCCTCAGGGTGTTCCTCTCACATGAAGAGCTGGATCCCAGCAGCATAATCAGGGGGCCCATCAAAAATGGTGAGTCTTTCTGTGCTGAAAAATGGTAATTGTAGGTTTGGTGTGTCTGCAGTGGTTTCTTTGCTTTCTCTAACAGATGATTGCATTATGTTAATTTGATTGATTTCAGCTAGATAGCAGAGAAAAGAATTTGTGGCCTGGATGTTCACCTACCTCTTGGTAGCTGTATTTTCAGAACCTCTGCAGCTCTGCTAAGCTCAGAGCAGAACACCAGCTGTTCATAAACAGCAATCTGTTGAAGTTCTGTTTAAAAAATAGTTTTGTGCTTAGACTTGCTTCTGTGGCATGGTCCAGAATGTACAGTTTTAGCTACTTGTATTTGTATAAATTATGACTTTTCTGTTTGCCAGTGGAAGGAAGCATTGTTGTAAGGAACGCAACATTTAGCTGGTCCAAAAATGATCCTCCTTCACTGAACAGGTAAGAAGAGGTACCCTTTGCTGTAGCTTTCTAATATTGCTGCATCATAAATGATCTGTATTTAAATTATTATGTATATGTGCTGAACAGCTTATTACCTTAAAGGAATAGAGCCATTTAGAAAGAATGTTGCTATTGGAAGGTRAGGGATATAGTTGGAAAGCTTAAAGATTTGAAGCTGTTGCTCTGAACTGTGGAGAGGATGAGCTCCATCTAGAGGATGTAGCCAGATTGTCCTCTTCCAGTTATCCCTAGTGCTTATGCTTGCAGCGTATTCTCAGTCTTCCCTTTTAAAATCATATCTTCTCAGACCTGTAGCCTTCTTCAGTTCCAGCACTGAATAAAAACCATGACAAACCCTTAAAATCTTCAAATTTACACAGTACTAGGACTAAGGGAACTGGAGAGATGTGGCTAGAAACAGTGTCTTCCCTTCATCCTATCAACTCAATTTTGGCTGCTGCTTGCTGGGTCTTAAGCTGAAAAACCTCTAAAGACAAGGAGGCTGTTCGAAAAGCATCCTTATGCAATTGCAGCACTCTGTAAGCATTATGCTGTGTGTAGCTGATTATTTCTTGTTTGTTTTTGTTAAAATGCTATTGCCTAAGTATAAGTGAATGCTCTCTAAACAAGAGGTTTGTCTTTTTCATGTGTTTAAGAAAAAAAAAAAACCTGTCCTCTTTCATTTCAGCATTAACTTCACCGTTCCAGAGGGCTCGCTGATAGCTGTTGTTGGTCAAGTTGGCTGTGGGAAGTCATCGTTGTTGTCTGCGCTGCTGGGGGAGATGGATAAAAAGGAAGGCTGTGTGGTTGTCAAGGTGCGACGACGTGCCTGGAGGATTGGTTGGCTACTTCTGGGTGTTTGGGCGTTTCTGAAGGGACTGTGAACTTGCAGGAACTGTGCAGAGACAGCCTTTCACATGAACTCATTTCTTAATGTATTTTCATGGTAAACTGTGTTTATGCCTCCACCTGTGGGCCGTGTATTTCTGTCTGTTCATCTTTGACCCAATCRTTTCTAAACCTGTTGGTTTCAGATTTAGCCAAAACAAACAGAATGATGGAAATCTCAAAAAGAGGTGTTTTAGTGAATCTCGTAGATCTGTAGACAGACAGCTATGGGGACAGATACTCCAGCAGGAAGTAGTGCAGGATCAGTTTGTACCTTTTTAGATGTTAGAGAATTGCAAGAAAAGAGGGAGCATACAAATGCACAAGCAAATGAAAAGTTACTGTTGTAGTTTGACCTTTCTTGGATATAATGGGTGGATGTAGCCTGCAGATCAAAAGTGGCCTGAAAAGAAGGGAAACCAAAAAAAAAAAAAAAAAAGGGGGGTAATTTTGCTGCTGCTTTAATATATGTAAGACAGTTGTTTTAACAACAAAATAAATTAACCTTTTGAGTAGAGAAAATGTGCACTTGGTCACCTCCAGAACTTGCTTGAAAAATTAAGCAATTAGAACTGAAACACTAATGATTGGTGCAAAAGGCAGAGGCAGAAGCATTCTTCAAAGCAAAATACAGGAACCCAATCCCTTCCTTTGAGGGGACTTGGTACTTAATAGCTTCCTCCCCTACTTTCTGTAGAAATCTCTTGGCAGGGATGTATGGTTAAACACATTTGCGTTCCACATTAAATTGTTTTATACAGCACATAATTTATAACTATATGAAAAAGAAAAGCCCTAATGACTTTTGACATTCAGTAATTGTGCAAATATCTTCTCTAAACAAATGTTCCCTCTAAGTTTATATTAGAGGAATTGTTTGAAGTCTTTTTCACGAGGTGCTTTGTACGTTCCCTTGTATAAACAGCATACAGGGAGGCAGTTCCTCAGCAGTTGGTTTCCTCTGTGGGGCTCAGAAATGGCCACAGGCAGTTTGGAAGGTGCTTGGCACTAGCTGCCCTGCGGTGCAGTTAGGCTGGAGTACTGAACAGTGACTTTATTTTCATTACAGGGCTCAGTAGCCTACGTTCCTCAGCAAGCCTGGGTCCAAAATGCAACTCTGGAAGACAACATTATCTTTGGAAGGGAGAAGAATGAGAGCCGCTATAAGCGTGTGGTTGAGGCTTGCGCGCTGCTGCCCGATATAGAGATCCTTCCTTCGGGAGACAGAACAGAAATAGGAGAAAAGGTATTGGAATACCCACTGGACTGTTACAGTGCTGTGGCTTGTACTTAAAAGCACATAACTTACTTTCATGCCCGAGAGAGTGGGAGTGTCCATGTGCTCTGTAGGGTGCTAGGGTACCCCATAACATCTCCCTCAGGTGCTGAGTATTTTTAAGCTGCAGCTACTGTAGAAGAGACACAGTTCAGCACACTGGGACCCAATCATATTCAGGGCATATATAGAGTTTCCTGTTATTTTTTTCACAAAATGGAGTAAGTGCTAAACGTCAAAGGAGTTTTCATAGCCATCCAGTATTTCTATCTTTTCGCAGTATCAGAGCTAATATTTCTGTCATCATGTCTAATTGATAATGTTATACTAAATGAGCTTCAAACATGTTACATAATAAAAGTGTGTCGTTTTCAACGTAAGAGTTATGTGAACTCTGCTCCTCTTTTGTCTGTATTTGACTCAACATTGTTTAAGATACTTGCATAACACTGACTGAAATTGAAATGTTGATTTTGTTCACGAGACGGCTACTGAGAGCTTCAGCAAATCAGGGAGATCAGTCACAGGATGTGTGGTACAATATTTTCTTTAAATACAATGCAGCCTTTGCTCCATACATTCTAAACTTTTCAAGCATAAAAGGAGGCTGTTCCTGTAAGTTCCATATTATATCTGTTTTATTGGTTTTCAAGGGACAGTTATATTTTTCACTTCTACTTTTAGAATGGGAACATTGTGCTATCATGGGAAATACCAATTCATAATGTTTTACTGAGTGTAGAGCTACACTTCTTTAACTTTCGATTTGCTGAGTTGTGTTTTCATCATCTGTTGAGTAGTTTAGTATTTCTCCATTGGATTGACAGAGACTGTTAAGAGATGAAGACCTGCAGTGGCTGCCAAGTTAACAGTGGCAATTCTGCTTCCGAGTGGAATTAGATACGTAAAGCTTTCCAAAGCATTATATATCTGTAACTAGGGAAGAGGTGCAGAAATAGGTGGTTATCAGTGGTTACTTTTTTGATATATGCTCTACTAATTGCTAGAATTAAAAAACATGTTAGAACAGGAAATTGCTGGAATTAAAAAACATGTTAGAACAGGAGGACATGTGTTTTGCTTGCTGACTAGGTAGATGCTGTAGGTGAGATATAGCTGCAGAGTGACAGGACCAGGTCCAGATTCAGTCAGCAGTGCAGCTTTATCTTCCTTACAGGAAATGTGGAAGGAAGCAGGACAACCAAATTGGAGAAGGAAGTGCAGAGTTTATTTATTAGGTCAGAGGAAGCACTGCAGAAGAAAATTAGCTTCTGAATGTATAACATCTCTGGGTTTATTGCTTTACAAGACTAGTAAACTGAATGCATATTTTTTCTGACTAACCCATCATTAAAAACAACTTAATAAGCTTGTTTCCAAGAGAGAATTTTGACTGTTAATTCTATTGTAGTATAAAATAATTCCTGGTACAGATATGTTTCTCACTGTGCTGCAGCTACTCTCTAGCTTGTGTTAATCTCTCACTTGTCTTTCACGAATTATTACAATAAACTTCAGCTGTAAATAAAGGGTTTTTTTTGTATCTCTACAGGGTGTGAATTTGTCTGGAGGACAGAAGCAGCGAGTTAGTCTGGCTCGGGCGGTTTACTGTAATGCAGATGTCTACCTATTTGATGATCCTTTATCAGCTGTTGATGCCCATGTTGGGAAACATATTTTTGAAAAAGTTATTGGACCAAAAGGGATCCTGAAAAATAAAGTATGTAACAATAAAGGTGCATTTATCTGGGGATCAATTTTATTTTATTTTGTGATCTCAAATGCATGCAAGTTTGGCAGATTGCATCTTCCTAGTTTCTTCTAAGCAGTTGGAAAAAAAATAGTGATTCTTCTGAGACTTTAAGGGGATTTCTATGGAACTCTGGAATTTCTGCAGTGAAATATACTGAGTTGTATAATTCAAAATTCCTTGGAGGAAAACTCAAAAGACAAAGATTAACTCTCAGCACCACCTTAAAAATGCTGCATGCCTGTCTTTATTACTGTACTGTGCATATAATTCAAGACTTCCATTTATTATTTTGAGGTGCTGGAGTAATTTTTTCCCTTTTGGTATTTAGACACGAGTTTTGGTAACCCATGCAGTCAACTATCTGCCTCAGATGGATACGATTCTGGTAATGACTGATGGAGAAATATCTGAGATGGGCTCCTACCAGGAGCTGCTGGAGCAAGATGGGGCTTTCGCAGAGTTTCTTCGTACATATGCTAATACTGAACAGAGCATGGAGGACAGTGGTAAGCTTGCAAATAAATCTCCTTGGGGTAAGCTGATATATGGTATGCTAGGGGAGTTGTGTTAAAGCAGAGTACAGAAAGTAAAGTCAAACCAGTGTTTCCTGTGTTAGGTCTGTGGGTAGAAGAGGTGTTTATTTCTGAGGGCACTGAAGTTTTCAGTGAAAGGTTAAGCACACTTTCTTTCCTAGAAGTTAGCAGAATGTAGAAGATCTCCATAGTGGAAATCCGCTCACTTAGAGAAAGCTAATATATCTGTGGGGTCAAATAAGAGAGTCGGCTGGAAGTTGTAGACTGTTCCCTCTGTTTTTTGTGGTCTGGCTCCTTTAGGCAGGTAATACCTACTTGCCTAGGAGTGTGCACTAGGAATAGCAACTCATTCTTCTAGCTGATGTTCCTGACTGCTTCTGCTTTTGCAAATGGCTGTAGAGCTGACCGAGGTAGAAATATGCTTTAAACTTTCTCTTTAATTTTTGTTTTTCCTGCAGTCAGGTATGGTGTTAGATCGTAACAGAGAAATTCAGCCTGTTTTCATTTGCGGCCTCTCTGCCGTTTTCCTGACCTTTCCACATGTTAGAACTGAGACTCAAGGTCTGGGTTTCCTTGCTGTGAGCCAGCTGTCCTCTTGGAAAGGTCACTTGCTCTGTCCGCAGATTGGAATGCTGTGTCTGAGAGCTGTGTGAGTGTTGTCACCCGCTGTGAGGAAGAGATTTTATAGTAACAATATGGCTAACTTCTGTGTGTTTAGGTACTCCTGTAGTTGCTTCTCTCATTGTCAGGCTTGATGCAAACTTCAGCATATGAGACTTTTGGAGATAAATGAACTACTAGCATCCTGTGCTTCCCCTTGGAGGGTTACTTTGTATGTACATTTGACTCTTTATATTGCCTCTTTTTTTAGCCCATGTCCTCTCTTTTCTAAGGACTTAGCAGGTTTTGAAATCCTTTATTCACGTGTAAGCAAGTTATTTTTCTCTTCCATTTAATTACTGAATTGTGTCTTGAAAAGTCATGCTTGTCTGTAGCTATCTAATATAAAGGTACTTCTAACTTCAGGGTAACCCTGGCAGTTTGCAGGTTGCTGCTCTGTGACTGGGTTGGTGCATTTGCAGTAAATTTGTTTTTTTTTCTAGGTTTGATCAAGTGATCTTCTGCTAGGGAAGATTTTTATGTAAAATAAGGTGGTTATCTGTCAGGTTCTCAGGGGCTGAATATTAATATTCATTGGAAAGAAAGATAAATATTATTAAAGATTACAAGTTCTTAGATAAATGCAGAGTTATATGTGAAGGGAGTCAGGAAGTGCTAGAAAGAGCACTGAAGGCTCCCATATGTCTGAAGCTRCATATTGGCCACAGTAAACATTAAACTGGAGCAAAATGTAAAGAATGGGGTTGGTGCTTTCCAGCTGAACGTGTCCCGTTTCTGCAGCCGTGGGGGAGGCTGCCCTGCACCCGGCCTCCCAAGGCTGTGGCGGGTCTGCTCCCCACTGCCTCCAGCCTCCCTTGGCCATCCCTGAGGCTGCYGCTCTGCGCTGGCTGCCGTTCTCATCCTGGGCTTCACGGAACCTCTTCGTTGGGCAGGAGGAACCCGCGCTCTGGTTAYTCTCTGGCTTCCTTTCTTACCCTTGTTTCACCCTTCTCCTGTGCAAATAGATGTAGCAGATGGTGACTTTTGTTTCAGCGATGGGTGTGTGTGAATTGAGTTTTTGTTTTTGGTGTATTCTTTTTTTTTTTCCTTTTTCCTTCTTTAGAATTGATTCAGGATCTACAAAGCCTGGAGCAATTTTTGCTGCCTTTATAGGAAGTAAAAGCACCAAGCACTTACGAGAAGTGCACCATAAGGTCATAATGTTTTTGCAGTGCACTGGTACAACTTTTGTCTTGAYCACGGTGCCTGGAAAACAGAGGTGTACAGTGCAGTTAATATTTGTACATGTTACCTTATTTAGACTCTCTTAATGTTATAAACTTAATATGCCAAATTCCAGCTGTTGTGCTGCACAAAGCAGAAACCTGCATTCTGGAAAAGAGATGGTATGGCTCAGGATTAAGCTGCACAGAGCCTGGCCCAGCTTCTTTGGAAGCTTCTTTTGTYTTCAGGAGAAAACAAAAAAGCTTTGTTTTCTCCTGAAATTGAGATGCAGTTTATAAACTCTTCAAGTTGAAGACACTTTCCTTGCTCAGTAGCTTGCTATTAATGCTGGTGCGTATAATAAAAGTAACTTTAAAATGACCACTCTTACAGACTGGGGTTTCATATCCATGAGGAAAAGCCTTGACTGTGTGACCAACCGTCACTTGTAGGCCTGGCAGGAAGGGCTGGTTGTACTGGTGACGTTGCAGATGGGGCAGGGGGGTTTCATATCCATGAGGAAAAGCCTTGACTTTGTGACCAACCGTCACTTGTAGGCCTGGCAGGGAAGGGCTGGTTGTACTGGTGATGTTGCAGATGGGGCAGGGTGTCCTGCGGCGCTCGCGGGACRCTCGGCTGCTGCTCGCCCGTTGCAGGGCAAGGATTAAGTGGTGTGAGAGGTGTTGGCTCTTCTCCAGGTGCTGCAGTAGCGTCTGGGCTGGCCTTGTAATTCAGGAACCACCTGCCTGGCTCAGGAAATAATGACTTCCTCTTAGATTTATTTTGCTTGACTTGTAGCGAAATTCAAGTTTCCTCTTTTCATTTAAAAAAAAAAAAAAAGCTTTCAGCCTCTGCCACAAAAACAGATGCAAACACTAGTCTTAGATAACAAGTGTGATTGGGGTGTCGAGATGTTGGAAGAGGGAGGAATCTGCCAGCTGTGCCTTCCTGCAGACAGGAGTCCAGCTGATAAAAGCAGCTGCTCTTAAAATATTGCCCTGTCACTAATGGTGCCATCAAGGAGTTGCCTGAAGGGAAGTCTCTTTTAGCATGGGGGGAAAATGCACATGGTAGTTCCCTGTGTGTAAATATTGGCATTCTGTATGGTTGTCAGGGTGAAGTCACCCTAGAGTCCCCCTTTTTTGATCCTCTCTTTGGTAGTGGATACCTTGAAAGAAAGGAGGGTTCTTGATTAGTCTCTCATAGCCATTTGATTTGAATTTTACTTCTTTTGTGAATTTTTTTTCTTTTTCCTGAGTCTTGGAAGTTACAAAGGAGAGACCCTTTCAGCAGATTTGATCCTGCTGTGGGCATTGACGTGTTTTTGTGGTTTAGGTTGTGTTATTTAGATGCGTTTGTGCTTATAAAGATTGAAAATGGTTGACTATGCTATAGCAGATGTGAAAATATGTTCTGCAACAACAGTTAATGATATGTGCTTTTAGACTCGGATCCTTCGTTAGAAGGAACAATTCAACTACTGGAAACAGGTAACTGCGCTTTTCTGCCATGTGGCTTTGCACTGGTGCTTGTGTGAAGCAATGAGAATAGCTGCATTGTACTTGCAAGAGAGATTGAGTCAATAAAGGCATTGCAGCAGCACCATGCAGGGTAACTGCTTGGTTTGCCYGTTGTTTTTTAGTGGGATGCTTAAACCAGCCAACTGCCTTGGTTTGTGTCAGCGTGTAGATGTGTCACAGCAGCGATTCTGAGCTCAGGCGCTTTCAAGTTTAAGCAGAACTTCTCCCAAASCTGCAGCTTTCCCCTGGGCTCAGGAGAGCAGTGAGTGACCCCCACAGAAGGAGGGCTCAGGGTGAAGTCCTGAGGGTCCGTTTCATTCTTGGGTATCTGCTTGGCATTTGCTGGCTTTTCCCTTTTTTTTTATTTTTTATGGAACACTTCAGCATATGTGTCCGTCTTGCTATGGTAATCCTGAGAGCTCCTTAGTTAATGCAGTATGTGCAAGAAATCTACAAAGACTTCCTGCATATATTGCCTACAAAAGGAAATCAAATGTAAAGAGCTGTTAACAAGGGGTAATTTAAGTTTTTTGTCAGTGTGAGCGTAGCGCTTCGGTGATGCCCTGAAATGCTGGGAGTTTTTTATTTCAAATTCTGGATAGTGTTCCACTAAAATGATGCTTTTTTTGTGGTGGTAAAGATCATTTCATTTTGTATTAGGAAGCTGCTGGCATATGGTAACTGGAGCCTAGAAGTTTTACTGACAGCACTATATTACCCTGAATTAAATTGCTCAGAGAAAGCTTCCATTTAATACATTAACAGGTTTTGTAAGTTGTTTTAGGCTGTTGTCTTGTGCTGCATCTTGTTAATGCATTATGGGATAACAAAGGTGTTTTTACAGACTCTGTAGCCTTTGATTAAGTGAATCCAATTCCTTGCTTTGCTTTAAGAGCATCAGGATTTTGCATGGTACTTCAAAGTTCTGAAGGAAGGCTGCAAGTTGCTGTTGCTTACTGGAATGTCTTCCTGTTGAGCTCAAAATAATTTGTAGCTAACTTCATAAAAAGATACAGTGTGAAGAGTWAAGATGCTTGGAATGTTTCTGTGCTGCATGATGTGTAGCCTGACTTAGCATTGTGAACTTGAGCATCGAGATGTTTTAGATTCATATTGCTGATCTATTTATCTGATAGTACAATAGAAAAATGTTCCCTTTCCTTGGCAACTCATTCTGTTGGGGATAGAACAAAATTGTTTTGTTCATCTGGTTAGCAGTCTGATAGCACACCTAAATACTCACTTGCTTTCTCCCTTTGGTTTGCCCATCAGGTCTGCACCTGGCATATGGTCTGAAATTGGACTTTCTTTTGTATGGTAAATTGTATATCTTGGCTAACTCATTTWTGCTTTTTTCTTACAGATACAAATAGTCCAGCTGGAAAGGAAGGAAAGCTTATAGAAAACGGTGTCCTGGCAAACGAAGCTCCTGGAAAACTGGTGCATAGGTTTGTAGTCTCCTCCCTCCTCTCCCCTTCTTACTCAGGTGCGGACAAGGAGAGACTTGTTGTTTGTGGTGTTAATTCATTGGGAGGGATACACATTTGCAGTTAGCGATAATAACCTCTTGCTCCTTTTCAATACATCTGAGTTGGTCACTCTTCTGGGTAGTCTCTTGGTATTTTGTACTTGCAATTCTTGGCTGACCTTGAAGTTTCTGGTCTCAAACTTCAGTTCGCTGCGAGTTCACTTGCAGTTTGTATCCTGGTTTGAGCACAATGTTGCGGCCAATGCCTGTCAAATAGTCTTTCAAATAGGCATTCATGCATGTTTGGAGCTCAGACAATGGGGTGCTGTGGGTTTGGCTCCTTTAAAAGGAGGAATATTATTTTGGCTGGTGCAGTTCTTGTGGACTTTTCTAAAGCTTCTTCACTTGACCATGTCAGAGTTGCAGGACTAGATGGAGCTGTAGTCTGAGCTAAGTATAGTTGTTCCTTTGCTTCAGAGAGGCCAAARGCAGTTGTTGTATCATACCTTCCAAAAACCATTTTAGTCTATGCCTTGTTTTTATATTCTCTGGAGGTGGGGGTTTCTGGGAGGTAATGATTGCTTGGGGGGGGAAATTTGCTTACTTTGATGCCAGTGGGAGTATTTGGTGTTTGATGACTGCGCTACATATAGTGGAAGTACTTGTGAAGGCTGATATTGGTCTTCACTGAGCAGTTATTCTTCCTAGAATCATACTGCTCAGCCCACGCTGCTTTGGCTGGCTGCCTGTCAATGAGCGTCTGAAGACAGTACTTGAGCACTGAACCTAATCAAGGAAGATCAGGCATCTAGGAATTAGGAAGATTAGGAAGTGCAGTGCGAGGGAGGAGGGGAGCAATGGTAGCCACTTGCCAGGCAATGGCTCTTTAGGAGACTGGTTCTCACCAGAGCAGTGTACGTTGGCATGCTGACATGTGGGCAAGGGCTGTTGAAGTTTCCTTATAAAGCAAGCAGTTGGTTCATATTATATTAAGACAAGAAAATAAATGTCTTTAAACAGGCAACTTAGTAACTCTTCAACATACAGCGGCGAGACGGGGAAGTCGCAGCAGCAGAGCAGCACTGCAGAGCTGCAGAAGCCCACGGCAGAAAAGAATTCCTGGAAGCTGACGGAGGCCGACACTGCCAAAACCGGAAGGGTAAGGCTCCCCTTTCTCCCTCCTGTGCCCCCTTTCAGCTTCCAAGAAACCCACAGGCCTGAGAATAACATAACTTTTGAAGACCATGAAACTGCACTGAGGAAGGGTTGAGTGGATTCCTGTGCTTGCTCCCTGGATTGTAGCACTTCATGCAGTGGTGTTAAACCACCTGCTCCCCAAGCCGAGTCCCACATTTGTTCACACGAGTGTGCTGGCATCAGCACTTCTGTTTCACATTGTGGGCCCAGCCACATTTAAGTGTAAAAAGATGTGATAACATTGTGGCTGTTTCTTGGAAAGACATTGCAAAATCATGTCTGCTTAAGTGACCTAGTGAAATCTGTCCTTTCGTGTATGGAACTGCAATTGCATCGGTTGAATTTAAGCCAAGTTTCCATTGTAGTTGCAAACATCTAATCTCAAGATGGACTTTTCCAGAGAAATCTGAGAGGGAAAAGTCTGGGAAAATGTCAGTTACATCTCCTGATAACATTGCTTGAATACCCTATTTAAATATAGATCGGAAAATACAGTAATTCGGAGCAGGAGTGCTGTTACAGGCTATATAACCTTGTAAAGGGGAGCACCTAAAGTCAGAACCCCAGTTTGTAACTGTGTGTTACTTGAGGCGGCCTTCTCCTCTCCCTTCCCTCCTGGCGGGCGTGCGTCCGCCTGCCCTGCCGAGGTGCTGCTTTGGGCCACGTTCATGCAGCCCTTTGCAACTCATGTTAGGGGATGTTGGCTTTCTAGTGTACAACTGCTGTGTATGACCTGATGGGGGAAACTGTGAGTGTAGATAGTGGTCAAGAAAAGGAGAATTGCTGGATTTGAAGCTTTCTTTGCACTGTCAGTATTTTTTTCCCTCCTTTCTGTCTTCAGGTAAAGGCAACAGTGTACTGGGACTACATGAAAGCTATTGGACTCTTTATCTCTTTTCTGAGCATATTYCTCTTTATGTGTAACCACGTGGCCTCCCTGGCTTCCAACTACTGGCTGAGTTTATGGACAGATGACCCTGTTGTCAATGGGACCCAGCAGTACACGAACGTCAGACTGGGAGTGTACGGAGCATTGGGAATTTCTCAAGGTTTGCTTGGACTTTAGGATTARCTAATTCAGACTGGTTTTGATGCTCTGTGGTAACCTTATATCTCTAGAGCTACAGAAAAGGTATCTGGTGGTATGAGCATGTTTTTATTTTAAAATGGGAAAATTAAAACTTTTAAAAAGTAAACCAACCTTGGTAAGTGAATTTGTTTTCCCCTTGCAAAGGGGAGAGGGGCCGGGGGAAATCAAAATGCAATTGCAGAGCCTAAGGAGCCATGAGTCCAGCTAGTGTAAAGCCAATCCAAGAAATGGCTCTTCAGTCTGTYGCTAAGCCTGAGTTACCCCATCCCTGGGGTCAGTGCATGGTAGGATCCCCTGGTGCAGGACCTATGCTGGGGCCTGCTCAGCTCTCTGGCTGAGCTGCAGAGGCTCGTGTTGCATCAGGATATTGAGGGTCCATCTCAGGCAGCTGTTTTTTGTTACATGTCATTTTTTGTGGTCAGAGTTATTTGACATAAAACCTAACAGCCCAAGTATCACACTTCAGAATGGCTGCAATAAATCTTGCAATAAGAAATTAAAAAAAAATCTTCAGATTGAGTGGTGTTTACTCAGTGAATGGTCTCAGATGCTTCACAAAACTCTGTAATGGAAAAACAAATTCCTCCTTCAGAGAAGTGCAGCATTTTTGCTGAAAAAATATTTTCAATTACATGAGACATGCAGTTCACCAAGTGTCACTGTCCTGTTCCTAAATTCTTGGGATTATTGTGGTAGAAATATCTGCTATTTCTGAATGATGATAAAATGAAGGAAAGTGATTTGTGTGAGAGGTGAAACAAAACATGTTTTTTTTTTTTTGGTCTCTCTCCCTCCTCCTCTCTGCAGGTATTGCTGTGTTTGGCTACTCGATGGTTGTGTCAATAGGGGGAATATTTGCTTCACGCCACCTGCACCTTAATCTGCTCCACAACGTCCTCAGGTCTCCAATGAGTTTCTTTGAGCGCACACCCAGTGGAAATCTGGTGAATCGTTTCTCCAAGGAAATGGATACGATTGACTCCAGTATTCCACCAATCATCAAGATGTTCATGGGCTCCACTTTTAATGTCATTGGGGCTTGTATTATTATCCTGCTGGCCACACCAATAGCTGCTGTCATTATTCCACCTCTGGGACTTGTCTATTTGTTTGTGCAGGTAGGAAGCTTTAGCCAGGGCCACTTGGGCCATCACTTGCTCTCACCGTCTGTTATTTAAGACTCTCCTTTCCTGAAGGGATTTTAATGTGTTTGACTTGAGAGTCTGCGTTTGACTGATGGTGCATGGATAACTTGATGAATTTAGCAGAGCATTTCCTATGATTGTCAAGTGTAGAAGTCTGATTTCTGTAACCTTTAAAGCAGTCTTCCAAACGAGAGGCATGTTTGTATGACTGCCAATGCGTGCATGTGGTCAGAAAAGTGTTTACAAAGGAAGAAAAGTTATGGCAGCCTTTCACTCCTGTCTTGTGTTGGCAGGGTGCACTTGTTTTGCTTTATTCAGCAGAACTAAAAGCTGATTTCTGGTTTGGACTCTTGAATTAGCAACTCTATCGCTCTCTTAGGCTTCTGTGACAGGTCTTGGGTTCCTTAGTAGATGTGTAGTAAGGCCTTGTCAGGATGTCTAAACGTAACCAACGTTGTGGCTCTTTGATTTGCAGAGATTTTATGTGGCCACTTCTCGCCAGCTCAAACGCCTGGAGTCCGTCAGYCGCTCCCCGGTGTATTCGCACTTCAACGAGACCCTCTTGGGAGTGAGTGTCATTCGAGCCTTTGAGGAGCAGAAGCGTTTCATACGGCAGAATGACATGAAAGTGGATGAAAACCAGAAAGCTTATTATCCAAGCATTGTTGCAAACAGGTAACGGGGGAAGAAATACCAAAGGACATGGTTCTGCTGCGTCCTTCACTGACAGCTCTCTGTGTACTTGTCCAGAGCAAGGAGACCTTTGGGGCTGTGTCTTTCACAGATGCCTTTAACTTGTGTGTAGGAATTTAGATGACTTTTGAATTTCTTTTCCTACTGTGATTTTCTGCCTTACTTCCAGATAATGTTTTTTAGAAGTCTTGATTCCTTGATCCCAACAGCTGCTTTCTGAACTAAAGCAATCATTATCCCTGAAAGGCTTATTAATTTTGTACATGTCTAGATTTCCACGCTGCTTAAATACTTTGCAGTTCTGTGTCACTGGCAGTTCTCAGATGTTATCTCATAAGACTTTGAAATTTTATAAATATATACTATAAACTACAAAATTATTTTATTAATGATRAGTCATAACTATTTTAATATTTTCTTAAGATAGTTGCATGGCAGAACACTGGTCAGCATCCATTCTGATTCTCTGTGGGGGTGAGTTGCTAAAAAGATGCATTATGTTGTATTCTGTCTTGCAGGTGGCTGGCAATCCGCCTGGAGTGCGTGGGGAACTGCATCGTCCTGTTTGCAGCGCTGTTCGCAGTGATGGCGCGCAACAGGCTCAGTGCAGGCCTCGTTGGCCTCTCTGTGTCCTACTCGTTACAGGTGTGAAAAATCTGTGCATTGTAAGGCTGCATTGAGTGGTCAGAACCTTGGGTCTGGGTGGAGGGGTAACTGAAGTAAAGAACATTACAAACAGAGCAGTGATTACAGTTAAGATCTGGAAAGATGCTAGAAATTACTTTGGCCTGTTAATGTGAAGGGATGTGGCTCAGAAGGCTTGTCACATGCATGTAAATACACCTTTCTGTCCAGCACTGATGAGTAAAGACCACATTCAGTGAACTCTCGATGCTTTGGTGAGCAGGGATTATTGCTAGGATCGTGTTAAATGTAAGCTACATGTAGGTCTGTTTCTTTCCTTTTTGTAGATTACAGCGTACTTAAATTGGCTGGTTCGTATGTCATCGGAGCTGGAAACGAACATTGTTGCGGTAGAAAGAGTCAAAGAATACGCTGAAATGGAGAAGGAGGTACAGTGGGCTGCCCTTTACAGCTAGTGCTTGGCACACGTATCATTAGACTCATAGTTGCAACATGGCTTGCTGATGGTTGCAATATATAATAATATATCCTTAATAATTATCATTAATTATATATCATTAATATTACAATATTAATATGTTATATTAATTATAGCCTATAACCATTACATTATAAATATTATAAATACTTACATTTATGTGTTATATTAATCATTAATATTGATGATTAATCATATTGATTGATTAATACACATTAATATTAATATCATTATTATGGCAATTATATTGTTTATATTAATTATATTATGTTAATATAATTGATATATTATAGTAATTATGATTATTATAATGTTATAATATAGTATTATAATAATATTATTAATAGTRTAGTATATTATTAGTAATTTTATAATATAATCCCTGTTTATATAAACAGGAGCATAAAGGAGCTACAGTTCCCTTAAAACTTAATCTTTTGTCGCTGAGATCACCTTCAGCTGCTGCGGAGATGCTTTCCCCTCATGTTATCTCCTCTCTAGACAAGTTTAGGGTGTATCAAATCTATCCTGATGCAGGGAGCAAACAGCCTGTCGCTTCGTTAGCTATGGGATGATGTTGGTTTAAAAGTGAAGCCTGGGGGGCCAGACCCTGCTCTGGGCCACCTCAGGTTCCTGTGCTGCCTACAACTCACCAGCATAGCCCAGGAGAGCCCGTGTTTGCCTCGGCTCTGAGCTCTGCTGTGGTAAGAGGGCAAAACTGCAGTTACCCCCTTGGAGCCAGGATATGTCTCTCTCTTTCAAGACTCTCTAGCACATCCAAGTGGCCACTCGCTGCCTCCTCTTATGGCAATCAGCAGAATTGCTTACTCAGTTGAAGCAAGGGCAGCTTTCCAGATGGGAGGTCTTTGCCTGCTTGTCAGATATTTTCGTTCACCCTCCCCAGTGCCTTTGGCCTGGTCTCTTGCAGTTTGTCTTGCGTAAAAGTCAGAGCCCTGTTCTGCAGCCTCACCCGTGCCCTGACTGGCTGGGCTGGAAAGTGCAGATGAAGGTCTCAGAGCTCTGCAGAAGCAGAAATTCGATAGAGCCGAGTGCTGTGAGTGCTTTCTAGGGACAGACTGTAACTTAGCGGGTAGCTCCTGTGGCTGCTTATGAGCTCTGTGCCAATCTTTATCCTTTTTTCACACAAGAAATATTATATCCTGCCCTGACTAAGCAGTAGAGCTGTGCAAATGTAGACTAGATGTTTTAAGTGCCTAGTTTTTTTTCATGTGTGTGTTGTCTTGTTCTTGATGTGGGAAGAAATGCAATTTACTTCTCTGTTTTGATTCCAATCAGACTCATTTCAGCTGCATTTGTGCAGGTTGCCTATAGAACAGTTCCCTGTGGCTTCTCTCTGCTGTGCCTGTTACTTGAGAACCCAACCAGAGACACTATTTTTGCAACCAAACCTTATGTGACCCTTTCTAAAGCCTTTCTCAGGTCCTGGTAGCAAACTGCTGCTGTTTGGCACTGGCAGCGTAAACACTGGGGCATGTTCTCCTTTCTCCCATCTCTCAGGGAGACTGAGGCAGCAGCTGTTTGCTCTGTCACCCTGTAAACCTTCCAGTGCTCATGCCTCAATCAAGCTGCTTTAGTTGCATGTCTGGTGTCCCCTATGGCTTCCTCACTGTGCACTTTTGTATAAGTAGGTTATCCAAATACATGCATGCTCTGTGAGTCTAACTTTTTATAATAAAAGGAAGATTTGTTCAGTAAGTGGAACTTAGGATAGCAAATTTCCCTATACCATTTAATCTGCCTCAGAGTCTCTCTCTCTTTTCCCTATCATCCCACTTCCTTTTGCAAACTGCAAACTACTCGGGATTTTTCTTTAACTGTTTTCCTCAAGTCCTCTTACAAATACTGAGCCCATGTCCTGTTGAAGGTTAAAGTAGCCAGATACGTTTGTATGTGGTTCTTCTAGGCTGAATGGAGTATTGAACAAACGGCCCCAGCCAGCACTTGGCCCCAGGAGGGGAAGATTGAGTTTCGAGGCTACGGTTTGCGCTACCGGGAAGACTTGGATTTGGTTCTGAAAAACATCAATGTTACCATAAATGGGGGTGAGAAGGTAATGAACCCGAATTTGTACCAGAGAATGGCTGTTTGAGTGTGCTAGTTCAGGTGTATTTCTGGAAATGCTTTAACTCTTCCTTGTTTCCTGTATGTCTCCCTAACAGATAGGAATAGTTGGAAGAACAGGAGCTGGGAAATCCTCCCTTACTTTGGGTTTGTTTCGGATTAATGAAGCAGCTGAAGGAGAAATTGTTATTGATGGGATTAATATTGCAAAGATAGGACTCCATGACTTGAGGTTCAGGATCACTATCATCCCTCAGGTTGGTGTGAAATACTGTAGTTATCTGACCTTGTTCTGGAACAGTACTGCTTCGGTAATGAACTGGGGGAATATGTTCATTTTCTGATCCATAGCTATGAAAAGGAGACATCTTACTGGGCTCTCTTGTGAACTTGAAACTGTCCCAGTTTAGTCCAGCCACTGCACATTCAACAGTTGGAAGTATTTGGAAATGTCTCTTCAGTACTGGGCCCAAAATCTCTTACCTTGTCATTTTTATTGTATATTCTTTATTGCCTGACTGTTCTGATTCAAAAATAAGACCATGAAATGCGTTTATCTAAGTCATGCTTGCAGCATGCTGAAAAAAACAGGTGACCATCCTGCAAGAAGTTTTATGGACTGCTTCTCTTCAAAGTCTGTGGGGTGACTTTGCTTTCTCCTTTTGATTACTTTGCTTTAGTGGGACTTCACTATGTCAATGTGATGCAAAACTATTGTTTTGTGTGTGATTCAAAACTATTTTCAAAGCAGTATTTCTTCAAATCCAAGAAGAAAAATAATGCACTCTATCAGTAATTAATGATTTCATTAATTACCAGTAATTATCAATATTAATGATTTCATTAATACTGCCTTGGGGAGAGAGCACCTGTTCTTTCACTCARTAGCTCAGTAAGTAGTAGTGAGTGGTTGGTTTTCCTTCTCAGTTTGTGGATTACTGAGTCTTGGAGTGTCAGAGTCTGCAGGAGGTAGAGGTCAGGCCTCTAGAGGCATAAGGAGGAATATGGGTGAGGAAAAATAACTTGCTATTATTGCGGTGGGGGGGAATGATGTCTCAATCCTAAATTGAGTAAACTGGCTTGTTTGTAACTGCAGCTGGCCATGTTTTCCTTTGGCTATCTTGAAATTTTTTTGAGCATTTGTCATACTGTGTGCATGTTGTTGATTATCTTGTTCTGGGACTAGGATCCAGTGCTGTTTTCTGGGTCTCTGCGTATGAATCTTGATCCTTTTGAGCAGCACTCTGATGAAGACATTTGGAGGTCTTTGGAATTGGCTCACCTGAAAAATTTTGTATCATCTCTTCCTGATAAGCTTAATCATGAGTGCGCTGAAGGTGGGGAGAACCTCAGGTGCGTGAGCAAATGTTGTTTGTGAAAATTACCTTAAGACTGAATAAGAAGGGAGCTGTGYGTGTGCCTTCCCTGTGCCTTCTGCCATCTGCAACGATTTCAGACTCCAGTTTAGATTTTCCTGGCAGTTACATGTGCTGGGTAATAGCTACATTTCCTACTTCCAGAAAACTTAGAACCCATTTGGAACAATTTGAACATACTCTGAACTCTGAATCCAATGAATTTAAAATAATTGAAGAAATACTCAGAGGATACTGGTGGGTTAGCCTCCAAGCTGATGGTGTCTTGGAAGGTTTTTAGTAACACAGCCTGCTATTTATAGTACATGCTTAGAACTTGCTGTGGCTCTTGTCCAACAGATGCAGTTTTCCTATGGGCGTTGTTGGCCTTCTTTTTGCTCCATAAGAGGGATATGTGTTCAGCCTGCAAAGCCCATTTAAAATCCAGTCCTCAGCACTGCACTGCTTCAGTGCTCCAGCTTGATGTGGTTATGCTGAAACCATTTGTAACATGTTTTCTTCTGTCACATTGCCGGAACTTCAYTGGGACAGAGATAAATGCAATTAGAGATACTGTTGCATACTTTGCAATGAAGTAGTAAGACAGACCTCACCTGTTTTGCAGTATTCTTGGCACCTCTTCTTTTTAGCAGAGATCTTACAAGAGGTTGCTAGGCTTTGAAATGAAAAACTGCAAAGTTTTGATCTTTTCTTCATTTTTTCTTTTTATTCTTCTATCCCACATGTGCAGTGTGGGACAGCGCCAGCTGGTGTGCCTGGCTCGGGCTCTGCTCAGAAAGTCAAAAATCTTGGTTCTCGATGAGGCCACCGCTGCTGTTGATCTTGAGACAGATAACCTTATACAGTCAACAATAAAGTCTCAGTTTGAAGAATGTACTGTTTTAACTATAGCACATCGTCTGAACACGATCATGGACTACACAAGGTGAATATGACTTCTATTTTGTGACCTGGTGTGTGTGGCTTATTCTGTGCTCTGCTTAAACGAGCATCCTGGCTAGCTAGCTGTGGATGGCTGTGTTTTTCCCCCCTGGCTGTATTTACTGTGGCCCGTGGTGGTTGTGCTTGGCCTCGAGGCCTGCTCCAATCCCCCTGTTGCTGGTTTGTTTTCCCCCCCCCCACCTTGGAATTTCAGTTTTGAGCTATGTTGTTCTTAATGTTACAGAATGGCAGAGAGCAAAGGGCTGAAATAATTGTCTGCGTTTGTAGACCTCTGCTCATACTGTCCTTGGGATGGATGAGGAGTCCTACCACAGGAGTGGTAGTCCTACCTCAGGAGTCCTTTAATCAGATTAACACCCTGTTAAACACATCAGCCCCTAGCACTACAGAGCAGCACCTGCTAAGGAGCTTTGTCAGCATCTCGGCAGGGCCTCGTCAGTTGGTGGAGGTGGCAAAAGGCAGCATCTCAGCTGTGAACTGTCCTTGGTGACTTGCCTTTCTAACCTTCCTGATAACAGCTGCATGGCTGCTCTGCGCAAGCTACATCTGTGTTTTTTTTCAGGGAGTGCTTTAAAGAGCAGTAAGATTGCTGCAAAGTTCAGGGAGCCTTACCCCAAGTTTCACAAAGTTACAGGGGCTCTCACTTGCTTTGACAGTAAGTGCTGCTCCTTAGTTTCTGGTTGGCATAGAGCACAGTGGGAACTGTCTTATGTCTGCCTCCAAATGATGGAGTAAGCACATACTGCTTAAAAAGCAGAGCAGGGAGGCTATGTGTAATGATATCAGCCAGGACAGAGGTGAAACCCTGTTTTTCCTTGTAGTCTGAGCTGTCTTTCCTTGCATACAAGGACTGTGCTGCAGTTGGTTTCTATGTCTGCATAAAAATCTGTATTTGTTGGCATTCTGGATTGATCTTGTGAACTTTGTTTTTTCCTGTATTTTACAGAGTTTTAGTCCTTGACAGAGGCGAAGTTGTGGAGTGCGATAGCCCAGACAACCTACTCCAGAAAAAAGGCATTTTCTATAGTATGGCCAAAGATTCAGGCTTGGTGTAGCATTGGATTTGGTTTGTTTGCATGGGGAAGAAGAAGGTAACACATTTGGAGAACTGTAGCTTTGACTGGACTGGTGTGAACCGTGGTGCTCAGTGTTGGACTTCGGGAGGCCAACCAGACCATGAAGATGGAAGTAACATAAAAATGCAATGTCTTTTTTCTTTTCTTGTTTGTTTGTTTTTTCTCCTTAGTATTGTTTTAGCAAGTCTGCTTTAGGAGAGACACATTATACTGGCCAAAATACTTCAGATACTTACGTTACCTTTTGCCTGGAATCTGTCCTGCTATTGCTTAAACGTAAGTTGGAATAATCCATCAGAGAAGTTCAGAAAAGCTTTCACCTTTTCATCCGCTCTTATATTCTGAAGGCCCCATTTTTTTATTTAAAGTATTTTTGCAAAAGCTGATTATTTGCTTGTTTGCTGATTCCTCATTTGGTGAGCCATCTACTGTGGGATGCACTTGGAACATTTTGTGGCATATAGTACTATAGTCAAAGACTTTTTTTTTGTGAAATTATGCGTGTGCCAGACTTTCTCATTATGGCATTTACTGTACATGGTTAATGCTTTTATGCATTCTCCTCAAGTTTCATATGTGTTTACAGTACATAGCAGCAAGTTCACCATAATGTGTCAGTAGTGCTGAGGTGAAAAACCACAGTCAACTTCAAAGCAGTATTTAAACACGCCTGCATTGACAGTCAGTCTGAAACCAAATTCTTGCAGCAGCTGGTGTGTCGTGGTAACAAGTACCTGATTTTACACCAGAGTCACTCAGGAATTCRGACATGGGTGCAGAATCCTGGTCACGTCTGTGGGGACTACACTTAAAAGTGAGGATTTGTCTGAGCAAAGGTTGCGGAGTGAGTTACGGTGTAATATTGATTGTAATATACCCTTGACTCGGGCAGGTCTGTCCTTTAATTGCAGCTCTGCCCCGTCAAGGACATTAGCCTTATAGCAAAGAAAAATGCCCTTCATGCTGCTGCTGCTGACTCTTAAATCGTGTGGGGAAATGTTCTCTTAAAGTTTATAGAGAAAAATCCTTGTTTTACTGTTTTTAAAGTTATGTGTGTCAGAGGGGTCCAAGAATTCAATTAACAATGGAGTCTGGTTTCAAGATCTTTTTGTTGAATGTTCATTTGTCTATTGGAAGGAAAAAACAATTGCATTTCTCGTGTTCTAAACAGTCTTTTTTTAAAAAATAAATTGTTGGAAGACAGCAAGCCATGTTAGATGGATCCAAATCCTGAGCACTCTGGGAATGTGGACTTCTGCGAATAATGTTGCTGACTAGACAGTTGTCTCCTTTAGAGTAAAAACTATTTATTTTTTTGTAAGTTATAACTCTCTGAAATTGAATAGACTGAAATTTTCTTTGGTATTTTTTGTAATGACTATATTGGAAATACAGATATTTGCAAAGAACTTGCAGTAAACGAAAATGGTTTGAATGATAACATGGCCTGTCATCTTTTGTTTTATTTCACAAAGTCATAGCTTCTGCAGTCCAAGTTTTTGCCTTGAAAACACAAATCAATGGAGGAGTCACTTCAGAAGAATTATTGAGATTAGCCAGACTGCCAGGGAGCCAGCGACACCCATGTGCTGTGGCTGGGGTTTTACTCATGTGCATTAAAATGGAGGAGAGCCGGAGGAGCAGAGGCGAGTACCAGCAGGAGACCTTTTCTCCCTGAGGACAGGTGATTTCCTCTTGGCTGTTAAACTGCAGCTCTATTGGAAGAATCAGATGCTTTTAGGTTCTCTCCCCTTCCAACTGCTCGAGGAGAGCCTTAGGAAGGGAGGCTGTTGGCACTGTGAAATCTCTCATCATTCCCTGCTCCTCCCTTCCTTCCCAGAGACTCCCAATGCTGCTGTGATAAACAGCTTCTGTGTGGACAGGGAAGGAAGTTATATGTGTCCACAGCTACCTATGCAGTGAAGACAGAGAACTGGAGCAGTGAATGTTTTATRGGTCAAATTAAGATTTGATCTCATTTCATATGATTGCTTAGAAGTCCTTAGGAGAGAGTGAGGGCTTCTTAGTGCTGGGTGATCTTGTGGGKATGAAATAATGCAGGGCTGACCAGTTGCTTTAGTCTGTGTGGGCTGTTCTTCAGGGCTGTCTGGTGCCATTTGTGTGTTTCCAAGTACATGGAGTGGAGGAGAAGGGTCTGGAGCAGGGATGGGTTAAGGCTCCTTTGTCAGGGCYGACCCATCCAGCAGCTGCTGCCTCTGCCCCTGTCCCCAGGAGGGCTCTGCAGCTCGGTGGGCGGTTGGAAATGGGTGCTCTGCCATAGAAATGCAGGGTACAGAAGGTATAAGTTTCTCTTGGTGGAGTCTTCGGAGTAGCCCTGACCTCCAGTGAAAACGTTTGTTTTGCTCAGAAGGAAAAAATAGACTTGGAAAAGCCACTGAGATGTCAGTAAACTGGGTTTAGATGGGAAAGTTTTACTTGGAATTTGAGCTGCTAGCAAACACTAAACAAACATAAATTGCTATGTGTGTGCTGCACTCTACGCTGCACAATAACTGATTAAAAAAATTAATTGGAGTCTTTCTCTTGATCAGATTTATACATTCACATCATTGGAGATGTTAAACAGATGTTTAATTCCTAATATTTCTTCAGAGCAATTTGTGAAGCAGGTTGTTAATGTAGAGCTTTGAGCAGACCGTAGTTACCCTCTGTGTGGGAGACTTGAGTTCCTAATTTCACTTACATAACCACTTGGAAACAAAGCCAGGGATTCCACTCCTCCAGCACAGTTTCTGTGTCAGATTTAATCTTGACACAGTGCTGCCTCTTTTGCCCTTTCAGCACAGCTTGGGGCTTGGATGCTCAGGGTATTTTTGCCCACTGTTAAGTTGTGCAAAGCAGCAGCAGCAGTGTGCCCTTTCAAAGATTACAAGCGGGAAATTGTGTGTGTTTATTTTCTCCTTCTGTTGCCTTCTCTCTTCATTACCAACTTAGGAACAGAAAGTGAGCCTCTAAAAGATGTTTATAGCAGAGATTAGGGTACACTAAAAGATATGTGTTTTAGAATTGCCCAGCAACACAGGCACTACTCTTGGTCTTTGACCTCAGTTAAATAATTTTAAAAAAAGAAATCCTCTTATTTATAAATACAGTTTAAAACATAGTTTGGAGATCCACTAATAATGCTTTATGGCGCTTGTATTGAATCTGTTCTTTGTTGCTTTTTTTCTCTTCTCTCCCTTAATTAAGGTATTTTGCTTAATCACAAAAAGGGTTTTCTGCCTTTACTCCCCCCCAAAAAAGGGTAGGTTTTTTTTTTTGGGGGGGGGGGGGGAGTGGGTTTTTTTTTTGTTTGTTTTTTGTTTTTTGTTCCCCTCCCCTCCTCTCTCCCCTCCCCTTTGTGTTTTGGCCAAGTAGGGCAGCAGGCATTGGGCTTCAAGATCTTGGGCACTCATCTGCCAGAAACAGTGAACTGCTTTGAATGTGGGTGAAGAAGCTACTGAACAGCTGGTAGAGAAGCTGCTGCAGGTTCAACTGGTCTGAGTTGACGTTACTGGCTTGAGTTATCCCATCCTCTCCACTAATATTCCTCTTAGTATTATGAGTTTAACTTACAGGAGAGAGTTATTTTAATATTTTATTCTGGTTTAATTTCAGCCTCCCAGAAAACAAAGTGCTGTAACAAAAGTCACGATGAACGTCGCAGTCTCACAGTCTATTTGTTTCATGTTCYTGTTGTGTCCCCAAGATGGGAGCAGCTCTGACAGGTGATTCCCAGCACCGTGGTAGAGGTTTTGCTTTCCAGGACTGCTCCATTTTTTCACCTGCTCCAAGCCAGGGCTGTGCTGTGCCACACAAACAAGGTGCATTTGCACTCCCTGCTGACAAGGGAAAAGCTGGGAGGGAAAGTGAGTGCTAGGAGGTCAGAGCTTTGCCTGATGGTACATGGCAGATCAAGCAGAAAGCTGGGAATGAAGCAAGTGAGTTCCCACTACTTCTCATCTGATGGACTGTCGTGCTGCAGACAATATCCTGGATCGCAGGAAGATGCTTTGCACTGCACAAACACCTTGCAACAAAATCCCTTTAGAAATGTTGGGTGATGGCRTTCAGACCAGCTCAGCCGTGACTGTGGCAATTGCCTGGCTTTCACAGTGGCCCTGCTCCAAGTGCAGCAGGATCCCAGCCCAGTTATTCTCTCCTGCACCAGGAAGCCAGTGTATGCGCTGGCTCTCTCCCTCTGAGGCTCTTTGTCAGCGCTCCAAGCAGCACAGTTTGCACAGGCCCCATCCGAGCTGATGGAAGTGAGATGGGTTCCCTGCCAGCTGTGACAGGCAGCCCACAGGCAACACGGTCCATATGTGCTTATGCTTACTGCCACAAGATAATGAACGTGGAATCCCAAGTCATCTCTGCTCATCTCCCCAGCGCAGCTATGGCTCAAGCACAATTTGGTTGAGTATTGGGCATTTTAGAATCAAATGAAGGTAACAACTCAATTAAGAGATCAATTATTCCTGGTTAACAGTGGTACTGCATTATGGTGGGCTCCGCAGGTGAGTCAGACAAGGCCTGATTCTTCCACCAGTCTGTAGAAGGCTCCCCTTTGAGCTATTAATTTTTCTGGAGTATCAAATTCAGCAATACAACCATTTTCCAAGATTAAAATCCTGTGAACGTTAAAATAGAAATGTAAGCCTGGAGATACACTAACTACTGTAATAAACTCCAAGTTATTTCTACTTAGTTTGAAAATATATCTCAATACTAGCTTATGATTCAACCAAGCTTCCAGCAGCTTTTCAGCTGGGAAACAGCTGTGGGACTGAAATGATGAGCGGCTGCTGAAGTACTTTGTGGGAAAAGGGGCTCTTGGCAACTGTGACTAGAGCAAACTTTGAAGGTGTTTTGGCTTTGTGATTTTAAAATGAAGTATAGAGCTGTAGTTAGGGTTTAGCTAGGAGAGTGATACTGCATGAAATGCATCATATGGGCATTTATAATTACTGGTTAGCCTCTTGGGCCCTAGCTACTGTAAGATAGCTCCTAGGACGTAATGCAAACCTTTGCGGGTTCAACAAGGAAAGGACAGAAGTGAAATTACTGTTAGTTTGTCTGGTTCTCTGTCTTTCTGCTGGGGAAACTGTGCGAAAATGTGTTTACCTGTCACAGTCCATGATGGTGTTTACACGGTGAGCTATAGTTAACACGGTGCTCTCTTTGAAATGAGTCCTCAGGGTGGACTGAATCTGAAGATCAGTCTCTAGATCTACAGCTGATGTAGCCTCATCTAGGACCAGGATTTTGGCTTTCTGGAGAAGTGCTCTGGCCAGACAAACCAACTGCTTCTGACCAGTGCTGCAAATGAGAAGAGGGCTGGTAAATTGAGAGTGACAAACAATTCGCTCTGGGACTAGAACTCATGATTGGTTTGAGAACAGTATGAAAAGGTGATTGTTCTCTCTTCCTGAAAGAGTGATTGAAACTGGGTGACTTTACAGATAAGAGCGTGAAACAACCTAGGAAAATGAAGGATGAATATTACAGTGGGACAGTGAGTGAATCACTGCATAGAAAAGTCACCACAATGATTCAGCCAGAAAGTTTTTCTACTCTGTGTCTTTTGATGTGTTTTTATGCTGCTAAATAGGACAACTGTGCAATGACTTGCTGTCTGGGTGCTATTCCTTTGTTTTTGATAAACTAGATTCCTTGTCCTGCTATTTATGTATTCTCCTAACCCAGGGCCTGGTATTGCCCTGCCTTTGGCTTTCTGCAAATAAGGTACCTTAGGTTTTCCCCTTGGTCAGTGCACTTATGTTCCAACTGGTCTGGCAAATTTGCAATGAAGTTCCTGAGCTGAGTCAGTTCCAAAGCTGTCCAGATGTCTTCATCAGTGTATTGGTTTAGAGGGTCAAGGTTTGTTCTTAGAGAGCCAGAAAATAAAACTGGATCCTAMGTACAGAAAGCACAAACAATTCTTGAAACAATTTGCAGAAATGAGCTCCATGGTGTTCTCTCCTGGCTGATACCGGTGGCTAGCGTTACAGTGAATGGGAGAGCAGCTGAGTATAGAAGTTATTTACAGATTTGAAATCTTTGAAATTTCTTTCACAGTGATTTTTCTAACGTTTTCGTATGTGTTAAGATTGGTAGAACTGCTCAGATATTCTGGAAATTATTTTCATACCTGGGGTATCACAGTTATCTTGGTTCTGAGGTCATGGAGACCTACTTGAGCAATATCTACTCCATCAATTAGAATCTCTCCTTCTGCGGCTTCCACCAACCGCAGCAGTCCAGCAGCAAGAGTAGATTTCCCAGCTCCTGTTCTTCCAGTTATACCGATCTGTGAGCGCAACGAGAAGGGTTTGTTAATCTTGTTGATCCTTTTGCACTGTTGGACAGTCTTGTTATATAGTTCTTAGCTGATGTACAAACATGAGTGTGACATGGTTCAAATTTTGAGGACTGTTCAAGACTTATATTGTTTAGGGATATATTATTAAAGGGAATCACRGTTTTTAATTATGAAGAAATCATGAAAACCTTTGAGCAAAGCATCTAGAATACTTGCCAACTAGAATGAAGCCTAGATTTGAAAAATGAAATGCATGCAGGAAACTGCCTTGCTCTAGGAGAGGTGTGCAGGGTGATGGATAGAAAAGGGCTTATCCATTTCCATGGCCTTCACACAGATGAACTATTACCTTGGTGTACGGCAAGGACAGCGCTTGGCCAGATGTGATCACTGCAAAGCACTGTTCCCACTCGCAGCTTGTATGAGACAAACGGCTTCGCTTACCTTCTCCTGCCCATGGATCGTCAGACTGAGGTGCTTCAGTGCCAGCTCCAAATTTGGCCTGTATCGCAAACTATAGTTTCTGAATTCAATTCTTCCTTCAGTGAGCCAAGCCTGACCTTGAGGTTTGCCAGTTAGAGTCCAGGGTGCCTAGAGAGATGAAAATAAACAGTGTGTAAATCGGATTTTAAGTTACCAAAAGAAAGGGACAAACTGAAATGGGAGACTTAAGATATCTGTGCAGAATTTTTCCAATTTTCTTTACTGTCTCCAAAATAAGAAAAAGTCTAACTTCCGTAATCTAAAATTTGACTTTGTTACTTCGTTTAAAGATTAAATCATCCTAATTGAAAATGAGGATAAGCATTTGTTCACATGTCTAAGTTCTGACATTGTAATAGTCTAAATAAAAAAGATTAATAGATTCCTGCAAACAGCACTGTGAACGTCTGTGTTAGTAGGATTTCAGCACAGTATATGGAGAAAAAATTATTTTAATGATTACAGRACATAAAAACTGACTGCACTAGAGATTCTTAGTGGCTAAAAGGCTATCTAGCAGCCATCAGTTATCACTGGGTTGTATTTGAACTGGCACAGTAAATACATAACTCCAAATATGGGTAGAAAACACAGCTCATTCCATGGGTGTTACTAAGTGAAGCTATTTTAATGACAATCTGGATTCTTAACTGGCTTAAGTAAATATGATGATCAGAGGTTATAAAACAAGCCTAGTTAACAGGGAAAAAAACAAAAGCTGCAGGTCTTTAAAGGAAGCAAAACTGGCCTTTCAGAGGAGAAATGCTAGGGGGGTTGTCTAGATGGAACGGCCAAGTTTCTCATTTGGTTTGTAGAGATGTTCAGCTCTCCTGGTAAGCCTAATAGCTGGGTAGCTACCTCTTTAGGAGTCCTCAAGTATTCTCTGACTCTCTCCACAGAAACGATGTTGTTTTCTATTTCTGTCCAGGAGCGCACCATCCAGTTCAAAATACCAGTTATCTAGCAGAAGGAAACAGAAGCATCAGGACAGAGAAAAGGACTGTTGACTTGTGTTCAAAAGATGGCTGGTAATATGTCATGGTATTTGTTTATAAACTTCATCTGCTAGATACTTGAGAAATCATTTTTAAAAGACTAAGAAATAATCACAGGCCCTTGGGAAATTTTCTTAAGCTGTATAGTAAAAAACCAACTTTTCTCTAAGCAAATTTATAGAGAAGAAGAAGATACTACTACTACTACTACTACTACTACTACTACTACTACTACTACTGCTACTACTGACTGTTTCTTGCATCACTGCAGAGTTAGTCTACAAGCACCTAAGTCAGATCCTGAGACAAGCTTCAGTTGTTCGGAGCTCTCCAGTTTTGTTTTGTGGGGTTCTAATGGGCCATATTTGCAAGAGGCTCTGCATTTCAGCAATGACAGTAGTTTAGATGAGCAGATTAAGTCTTCTAAACCTAGAAGAGTATTTAGAGTTGCTTTTGACACAGGGCAGCATGATGTTAAACATTGAGTTACCTGAAGAGCATATGAAATAGAAAAACCAGCAGCTCCTGGACTAAGATGCGTTCTGCCAATTGCTGCAAATAGTGCTGCAAACAGCACGATGCCATTGCCCAGAAACTCCAGGTTTGTGGCAAGCCACCTGCAAAAGGAGAACAGTACAGAGCACTCCCTCCTCTTTCCTCCCCCTAGCATTTGACTACTTTGTAAAATACCTGTGGAGCTGCAGGGGTTTAGGGTGCTCAGCAAAGCCRCTACCACCCCATGGCTGCCTAACCAGCCATTCCATGTGTCCAGGGGGCTCCATCTGCCCAAACATGCTGACCCCTCGTCCCTGTTCGGATCTGGGGGCTAGAGGCTGGGGGCAGCCAGCAAGCTGGGGCCTGGATGAATTGGTCTAACATCTCTTGCTCCTTATGTGTTCAGTGACAGACAGCTGCTTGTGCCACTGTCTGGTGGGTTTGCTGGAGGCCTCATGCCTTCTGTCCCACAGTGATGGGCCTCACCAGGCATGTACCAGCTTGATCCTGGACTAAAATGCAGCACACCTCTAGCAGCAGCTTTCTGCTCACTAGGGCTATGAGATTAAACCATGCTTTACACTGGAGATTTGTACCTGTCAGCAACTGCTCCAGGGAAACATATTCTTTGGTTCTCATCCACTTGGAAATTGCTTTTTAGAATAAATCTCYCTTGGTCCTTGTAAGCACGGATCACGCTGCTCCCTTGAAAGGTTTCTGCAATGTGGGAGTAGATGGGTGATCGGCTGGCAGCCTCCAGGCGTCTCAGCTGGCAGGAGGTGACAACATAGAAGTGCTGGCACAAAGGGAAATAAAAGAGGAAGTGACGAGTAGGTTTATGCTCCACAGAGAATTTCAGTAGGGCTGGACAAATGCAATAATACCCATTAAAYTAACATTGCAAAGCCTAACTTGTGGGTAAGAGGTGCCCTTAAAAGGTGATTGCAGTGTTTCTCTCTGATACATGCTTTGATCTTCATTAAGAATATCATATGCTTGATTACCAGGGATGCCAGGGCCGTGCAAACCTGAAAGCCTCTGAACTTGCACCCTGAACTCTGAACTGTGTGGGAACAGACAAGTACATTCACCCTTTATTTGCTCTTTCCTTATGTTCAGCCTTACCTGGCAAGGCAAGTGGGGTTCCAGAGCCCCAAGGGAGAGCTGTTTGACATGCTGCATGTTTAGTAAAAAGCAGCAGAGCCAGCAGAGCAATGCTGAGAGAAAGGAGGAAAAAAAAAAAAAAAAAAAGCCTTTGGTCTTGACATGATTTTGTTTACATTCATGGGAATAAGAAGTGTAGCTCTAGGTAAGATCTGATGTGGACACCAGAAGAACATCAGCCTCTCTGAGGTCTCTGGGATGCTTTGAGGGGTTGAGGTGATGTGGGAAAAGTCACTACTGTTCAGTTTGTTCACAGGCAGCTCTGTGAACAAAATGGATGCATTTTATGTGGGAGATGAAACTAGTTCTTGTGTGCCTTGACCCCTAAGAAATGAGAGGAGGTTTCTAAAAGGACAGGCCTTGTGGCTGCAGCTTCTTCTGTCTGTCTATCTCTCTGAACTCCTACCTGGAATACAGCATACAGCACCGTCAAGGGCACTATGGCCATCGCTGCCATTGGCGTAGCCACCATAATCACAAGATAGATTTCCAGCAGGTTGAACAAGAATCCAAGCAAGGACTTCAGCTTGTCTGGGATGATGGAATCAATGGCGTCGATTTCTTTGGAGAAGCGGTTCAGCAAGTTTCCAATGGGTGTCTGCTCAAAGAAGATCATGGGGGATCTAGCAACGCTCCTCAGCAGCTGCAGAAAGAGCTTGTGCGATGCTGCCACACCTCCCAGGAGGACGGCTGCAGTGGAAATGAATCTGCAGAGGGCTGTAATTTTAGAAATAATTATTTGTCTGAACAAATCCAACTTGGACATATTTTTGTTGGAGGAATGGAATGCAATAAAGGAGAGCAATTAATAGAAGTGGTGGAAACATGGAAGTTGTTCTTCCAGTGGTGGATTTTTCTAGACTTATCAGCCCCTATAGCCCCAGTAGGCAGAAGACAYTAATCATCATGGCCTACTGCAATGCACAGCACAGCACAAAGTGCAGTGTCAGGCAGTAACACTGGAAATATTGTTCAGGTCTCTTAGAAGTCCTTTCTGTGCGTCAGAGCCTGTAGATTCAGGTTCTGTGCCAAACCCCTAGGGGCACTGCCAAGAGACCACGAGGCTAAGAGCCTATGGGTGTGCACTTGCTTATATTCTGAGAAAATATCCTGAGTATGGGAAAGGGAGATACAAATGCAGAAGAATTAGGTGAGAAGTTCAAAAAACCTTGAATGACTCCCAGTGCACCAAAGACCCCAACCCTGAGCGATGTGTGCTGCTGCGTCCCGTTGTGAGCAGGGTCATCTGTCCACAGGCGGAGCCAGTASCCACGAGAAAATGACACGCTTTGCTGACAGGTGAACAGCAGAATGATGTACAAACACAGCACGGAGCCCATCGCCCTCAGGTACGCCACGTAATTTGAAATATTAACCTGGAGTGAAACCATAAAAGAGACAGAAGGAGGGCTGGGAAGGATCAAGTGTTACTCTTACCTGGATTCCTGCTTATGCTTCTTTATTTTCTATAATACACTCCCTGCCTTTTCAGGTGTTCCACTTGGATAAGACAAGAACATTGATGTGCCCCTTCCTGGCAGCATCAGGGGGTTGGGGATAGAACGTTACAAGTCTCTCCCTTTCCAACCTACCATCTACTCTCTATGCTGATGCCCCATCCGGACCTCAGTGCACCTTCTCTCTTCAGTAATCTCTTCAGTGTCTCTCGAGTAATACTATTCTTTCCCAAATCCCTTTCTGAATGTGCTCTCTGCAATGCACATGCCTTATTCTTGTTCTGTAACTACCATTTAGACTGGGACATGATGAGACAACTGTTTGCATGAATCATATTTGTTTTATGAAATAATGATGAAATTATTTTCCCTCAGTTATAGGACAAACTGGCTTCCCTGGAGTTTCACTGATTTATCTCAGGCAGAGAATTGACCCATGTATCATGAGTGGGTCATTAAAAAGCCTATGGAACAAGTGTCTGCTGTAATGGGAGGGCTGTACTTACCCTGCCACGTGGAGCCTTCTCTCCCTTGGTTAATCTTCCTTGGGCAGCTACAGCAGTGGAGCAGTCTTGATTTGCAAGACTAGTCTCTCTTTTCATAGTAGAAGACTTGACTGAACTTTCGCTTGTAAAACAAACAAAATTGCTTTTAACTTTTAGCCAAGGCAACGAAGATGTTACAGTCTTTTTATATTTAAGGATYCCCACCACCATGAGGGTAAAGCTGAAATACCTTTTCTTTCATCCTAATGGCAGTTGAGGACACTTTTCATATTTGGAATGTGATGTTCCCAGAGCTAACATGGGGGTGTGAATAACCTTACGCATCCACCACTACACCCATGTCTGGTCTTAGGACTCTGGTTTTTGGACACAGTGACCCAGAGCGTTGGTTACATACATTGGTGTTTAGCAGGTGTAGTTATTATCAGATGGAAGCTCTGAGCATTCACTAGCTGTGACTGACAAAATGAGTCAGACCTTGCAGCCCCACTGGGAACTAGACAGCAAATACAGTGCTATGCCTTGTACCTSAGCTCTGCGATGAATTACAGCTATTGAATACAAAGAAAATGCTTTTCAGTCTCCATAATCAAGARCAGTTCTCTGTCCAGTCTTGTGTTTTGCTTGTTCACTGATTTACAGACTGATCCCAAACCTGAATTGTACTTTGTAAGAGTCTTCACGGAGYGTTGTACAGGCTTTTGGAGGAAGTCTTTTGATGTCTGAGACAGTGCTTCCAGCTTACCTATGGAGCTTCTCCCATGATGGACCATTCCCAGAAGTGACGGTGCCTTTGGTGTCTCCTACAGCTGTGAAATAAGTGCACTTTTTCTCTSTACATGCTTTACATTGCCATTTTGTCCTGTATAACCATGAGATATTGGTAACATGGAGGAAAGATTCATTGAAAATAATTGTTTCCATTATTTCTAAAATTAGAAATAATCTAAGGCTTTAAACATGACACGTATAGTAGGTGACTATGTTAATAGCATGATAGGTTTCTATTAAGATGGAACAGTTTATGGAAGAAGCAGTTTTAGAGTAATGAGTCTGCTAATTTAACAGGTTTTTTTTCCACATAGAATACTACCTTACTGTGATGGAATCTCTGCTTTAAATGTCCTTAATAGAACAAATCTTAAGAATGGCTTTTCCATTTTTATTTTCTATTTTCCCTCTTCCTAACTGAACAGCAACTGACCTCCAGTTCTTTAGTGTTAAGTATAAAATTAAGAATGAAACAAATGACTGATCAGGCTGGAAAAATATTTCCAATTCCTTTTGGTTACCTGGTAAACCAGAGTCTGCTTTCTCTTCTGTAATGTGTGAATGAAGAAATTCTGTAAAAGCTCCATTTCTCTGCAAAAGTTCTTGGTAAGAACCAACTTCTGAGATGGATCCATCCACCAGCACAACAATATTGTCCACTTGGGGCAAAATGTTGATTGTGTGAGTCACCAGCACACGGGTCTACTTGAATCAAGAGAGAACAGTTAGAATTGCTCCAGCCTCTCCACTGCTCCCTTGAGCTGTTGCAGTCAGGCATCTTCTGAAGAAAGGTGCATGACTGGTGTGAACTTGAATTTCTGAGAGTTGATTCCACCTAGACTTGAAACTCTTAACTAGATTTATGTTAATCAGAGATTGTGTCATATTGATTGCCACTGTTGTCTACAGAGTGAAAACTGTGCTTCAACTTCATCAGTCTGAATGGAGCTACACTTGCGCAAAAAAAACCCCAAAAACACAACTTGGGAGCCTTTGATGCAGAGAGCACCCAAATCATGAGAGGCAGTTGAGGGAACCTGATGATCAGATACAGTTTTACTAGCTTTTATCATTTAGTATTTATGACATACCTTGTCTTTCAGTAGGCCCTTGGGTCCAAGAACATGTTCAAAAATATGCTGTCTAACATGAGCATCAAGCGCTGACAGAGGATCATCCAGGAGGTAAATGGAAGCCTTCTGGTACACTGCACGAGCGAGGCTCACTCTTTGTTTCTGCCCTCCAGATATATTAATCCCCTGTAAAAACACACTGATGCTGTTTATTCTAAGGTTACATCATCATTGCCAGGTTTATGGCCTCCTTATGTTCAAATCATTCAGAATGTCCTCCTCTCTAAAGAGGCAGCAGCAACCTCACTTGAAAATCCCCTGACCTGCRCAAGACCCGAGGATGATATGGAAATGTTTATTTCACTTTAACCATCTCTCCTATTTCTGGCTACTTTAAGTGTCAGATGGTGAGCTTCAAACCCTGTTAAATCAGGATTTTGCACAAATTCTTGAGAACCTTCCTGCTGCAAATTTAGTCCCTCCCTGAGGTGTTTCAAACAGTGCACCTAAGTTGTAGTGAATTATGGAAAAGTTGGCCAAAAATATAAAACTGGCCCAGTACCTTCTCTCCTATTTCACTCTTAGGCCCTGCAGGAAAGCTTTCCAAATCAGCTTGAAGTGCACAAGCATCAATCACACTGTTAAACCACATTTCATCCATCTCTTTCCCAAAGACAATATTATCTTCCACTGAAGCATTTTGTATCCAAGCTTGCTGAGGCACATAAGCCACTGTGCCCTGTAAAAACAGAAATGGAAGAAAGTTATTAATATCTTTTTTATAAGCTGAACTTGAAGAGTTTTATATAGTGTGGGAAAGGGTCTCTCAAGAAAAGACCTCTCAATTAACTTTATAGAAGTTTGGTGTCATAAATGAGAGTGAGGAATGACTATCACCATTGACAGCTCTCAGGTGCTTTGCAAAGTCACCTGTCACTGCCCTACAGAAGAAGAAATGAGGTACCAGCAAGTCAAGAGCCCTTTCAGCTCAGTGTCAGAGTGGGACTGGACTGGATCTCCACAGTCCTGTTCCAATTCTCCTTCCCAAGGGCCAGGATCATCCAAGAGGTCTTAAGTACTTTCAGATGAATAAACACAAGCTAATATCTCACAGCCCTTGTGAAAGTTCAGCAGTAAACTAGAGAGGTTTTTATCAAGGAGCTGATGCCTTTGGTAGTATCTTATTGTTCCTGAAAATGTCTAATCACAAGCAAATGCTTAGAGGAACATTTACCTTAACGGTCACGTAGCCATCTGTATTTTCCATCTCACCAAGTAATGCTGACAGCAAGGAGGACTTTCCAGCACCCACCTGGCCAACTACAGCAAGCAAGGAGCCTTGGTGCACAGTTAGATCTATGCTACAAAATAAAAGCCCTCTGCCCAGTTAGTCTCTTATGAGCGTTCAGATGTGCCTTCTGAAAAGAAGCTAAATTCTTGCTGTTTTCTCGTTACAATAAAAATGTCCTCATCAACTTCCACCCTCGTTTCTGTAATTTCATACAATACTATTGAGAAAAGCATGTTTTGATAATAATATATAATATTTGCATCCTACCTGGTCTTCAGAAGTGAGATGATTAAGGGTAAATCTGTACCTTCTAAGACAAGGAGAAGTTTCCTTGTTCCAGTTGAAAGTTCCATTCCTTATGGTGATGCTTGCCTGCTCTAAAATATAGGAAGTGGTAGAGTTAATATATTTTCAAAGGTAGGTATGGAAATGTGCCTATTTATGAGACTTTACATTTCAGTATATACTTTATATATAGATAGATATAGATATAGATATAGATATAGATATATGAGATGAACCTTATATCCTAGAAGAAGAGGTTAATTATCAAGGCATTGAGAGTTAGCAATGAATAGGCCTGAGAGAGAAAATGATGGTTACAGATGTTTTTGCTCTTGACTATATAAGCACCCTAAGAATGGAAGCCGAGCAATGCAAACTGCACCCCTTGCAAGGCACTAATGCCAACACAAAAGCTCACCACAGTCAGAAGTGTTCCTGCTTGAGCTGTCAGGATTCAGTTCTTCTAGATTCAGAAAAGTTGCTAAGCGGTTTAAAGATACTTTGGCCTGAAATAAACACAAGACATGATAGAATAGATAGAAAGATTGCTAGAATTCCAAATAAGACTTAATTTGAAGACCTACCTAAACTGTTGACTAGGTGCTGCCCAATGAAAAGAGCACTACCCCCAGCCTCACACCATAGGAYAGAAATATAGCTCCAAAACACTGCAGAGTGTCTGTTGGTGGCTATTTTATTAATATATGGAATACTGCAGAAAAACAGTACTTTAAAGTTCCTTTGCAGCAAATCCTTGTGGCAAATCCTTGCTCAAATCCTTCACTATTTCATGACAACAATTAAATAGCTGGCTTGAGAGTGAATGTCATAAGAAATACCTACTCTTTACCCTTTAATGATAATAAGTAAAAAGAAAAAAAATAGTTATGATGAAAGAAAAACATAGCCTGTAATTAACCTGGACTGCAGCGTTTATGGAGAAGGGCAGGAAGGAGTGCGCAGTGTTGAGAATGTTGATCAAGGTTAAAGATACAAAAGCCTTCTGAGCATCCAGGATGTGTGTGTTATCAACCAGAGTGTAGACAGCAAACATGACAAAGGCAATCTGAAAAAAAAACAAAGAAAACACAGATYTTTAGACAGGCAAGAGAATGCTTCAGGATGGCAGCCCTTTTCTGAAGACTCTGGAATCCCTTTAGTTGAAGCTAGGTTATCAGCCATATATATAATACCACTGTCCTGCAAACATCAGAGGCAAAGTGACAAAAGCAGCAATCCAGATCTYTGTTCTGTTTTAAAGAGGTTTTGGTGCTGCAACCATGGCAAGGTCATAGGCACAACTAATTCCCCGTTGGGCTGCAAGAACAGCAAGGGCAAAAGGGATTTATGAAGATATACACAGAGCCATAAACTTGGTGCAGTTGTTGATATTCAGTTGTTGGTTCACACAAAACAGGATGAGTGAGTCTACCTGAAACACAGCACCAGACCAGGTGACTGTCCACTGAACKGTTAGGATAATGTAAATGTCTGTATGGCAGATTCTGTTAGGGCTCAACTACTCCTGTGAGATCACGAGATCTTCTGGGTAGACATTATCCATAGTGATCCAAAAGGAAAACTGGTTCAGAGAGGGACACAGAAAAAGTAGAAATAAGAGCAGYGTATATTTTAGGTAGGAAGGTGAACCACTCACCAGGAAAGTTGATGAATGAAAGGAAGCTAGAGATGCTGAGAGGAGGATCTGAGATCTTTTCAGGGCCTGAAGTTCTTGCTTCCGGATATCAAGCACTTTCTCCATGAAGATGTTCTCCCAGCCATAGAGTTTGATTACTTTAATGTCACTGAGAATGGCATTGGTGAGTTTGGCCCGCTCATCTTTATATTTCATCTGGGCTTCCTGTAATAAATATTTATGAACATAATTTAAAAGGAGTGTTCAATTATTCTGAAAAACATTTTGATCTTACCTAAAAATTCCACACAAATTTTCCTGCAGTTGAGCTGTATATACTCTTTAGTTTACAAAGYGGTTGATATAGTTAATAATATCAGAATATGCATTTGTGATCCATGTTAGTAAAATAGTTTTTGTTACAACCTGTCTGTTCTAATCACTGGGTTTTGATTTGTTTTGTAGTCTTGGTTTCCATGTGATCGTTTCCTGGGAGAGCATAGCAGCCCTTAGCTTTTGAATCCCAGCATGTTTCACATCAGTAAAACATTTCTCAATTTTATGAAACAAAATATACCTGAAATTGGCTCCTTTTCTTTGTGATCACAAAATTCAGCGGCAAAAGTAGAAGAAACACAGCAACTGAAGTCAAGGCAGATGGCCCAAGAAGCTGCCAGGAGAGAAAAGGAAAGAGCTTTTGGTGACTGCCAGAAACAAGAGTCTTGCACTCTTCYTGGCCCACCTTCCTTCTCATTTGAAGCTTCTGCCTGACGTTCCCTCMTACCCGAGGCTTTCCGCTGGTCTACGCTTTGCCCTTCTTGGGAGTTGTGCTCCCTGATCCCTGGGGATTGCAAGCTCTCCAGGCAGGGTAGCTCCTGTCATCAAGCTCGGCTGAATTTATTTGCTTCCCTTTTAAGAACAAGATTAGGGCTGAAAGAGACCCAGAAWTACTCTTGAGATTTAAAAATCGTTTGTTTCTTCCCATCTCTTCTTGGATGCATTAAGGAGGACATCTTGTGGCTGCCTTAAGCAAGTCGCCCCAATCAGGTTTTGTTTAAAAGAAAAGCAGATGCTCAACATAATATTCTTGCAGCATAAATAGCTTGCCTGAATTTGTATCAGCAAGGGAGCTGAAATGGCTGCATTTCCTGTGCCATGTACAGCTGGGCAGCTCTTGGATACCAGGGTTCACAATGATTGTGGCTCCGAGCCAATATAAAGAGGTTTTTTTCCCTGGTTTAGTTGCAGCCCTTTGCAGATTGCTTCAGTTTGGCAGAGAGGTGAGTGCCAGGAGGCACCGTGATGAAAACATACACACTACTCAAACAAAGTATTAATTATTTCTAMATAAGAAAGAGGGAGATGCAAAACAATCTGTAAGCTACTACTGAAAAATTTCATGTAGCTCTGCTGTATACAACAACATTCTGTTTGTCCCATCACTAAAAAAGGGATGATGAACTTTGAACAGTGTAGGCCATGGCTGCCAAGCTGCTTTCCAAGCTTGGAGGATCCAGCCAGGTACAAGGCATGCAAGTTACTCCCAGTTATCAAAGAAAGGTCTCAAAGGCCTCTGAGAAGTTACTATCTCTGTAGCGTTTGTGTTTCCACTTAGAGAGCAACCAGCAAAAAATGGGGACTGAGGACTGAGAAATAGGGTTCTGGCCTGCTGAGAAAATGCCAARAAACTAAGGGGGAAAAAAAATGAAGCTTTTAGACTACCAGCATTAAATCAAATTTAGGATTTGCGCTCTCCTTGCTAGACTCCTCAATACCTGTGAAATTTAATGTTTCCCATACTCTTTCAATATCATATAACTTTGCTTCAAACTCRTTCATTTATCTTGCTAGTCAGACCTTAAGATAAAGTCTCTCAAGCTGTCATTTCAAACTGTTCTCACTTTATGTTTTGTAGCTATGCAGAGGACCTGGAACTRAACTTGCAGCCTGCAATGGGCCCCGCCAGTTTGTTCGGAAGAGCTGACAAAAGGAGGTCTGATGGCAGAAGCTGGCAAAAGAGACTGAATGCAGAATACACAGGTAAAGAGATGAACTGAAGCATCAGAAAAGGATTCTACACTAAAAAATATATCTTCTAATAACACAAGTGAATCTATCATGCTACAAAGTTAAGAAAAATATGATAATTTCTAGTTATTCAGATCAGCAAAGCTCTAAGCAGAACTTGGAAAACTCCTCCATTTCAATGTCAATAATAGAAGAGGATTGATAGGTGCTCTCGACATATTTTACCTGCCACAAGAAGACAAAACAAATGATAATCCGAATAGGAGCAAGCCAGGTCCCATTAAAATAGATAATGAGATCCATTAGCTTTTGGACATCAACAGACACCAGATTAACTATTTCACCCACTGTTGCTGCTTTTCTTGATGCATTTGACATGACTAGGATCTAGACAGGGTAGAGAAGGAAAAACACAGTCAAACAACAACTTTTAATCTGAGAATCAGACTCCTTCCTGTTCCTTACATTGGAAAGGATGGAAAAATGTCAAATCCTAGGYACTGATAGGACACTACTGGCTGGGATATGTAACTTCACTTCAGGATGAAGATTTTATCCTCTCTGATAATGAACATAATTTACAACATAAGGAAGCTTAAATTGCTTCCCCCCCCCCTTTTTTTTATCCCTTAAGAGGTAAGATTTGAAAAACAAATAGCAAAATACTTCCCACATGCTGTTCAGAGATGAGTACAGCACAGAAATATATGCTAAAAGTAGTTCTCTAATAGCATCTTCCCTGATATTGTTAACAAATGGTGCCAGCATTGTCATAATGATTAATGCAGGGCTTAGAAAAAAAAAAAACAAGCTGACTGGAAAGCTGCAGACTCACCTTCCTGTACACGAGCCCTGTTACCGCAGTCCTTAGTCTCAGTCCCAGAACGAGACACATGTACATATATCGTTGTTCAAACAGAGTCTGGAGACAAGCCAGCAGGAACAGAGTGAAGGCATAGAAATAACCGTGCCAGTTAGGGGCTTCTTGGTCTTCAATGAACTGCAGGAAAAGGCTGCAAGACAGAAGCACAGTGCCAATGAACCCATGTAGAACTGAAGAAATGTCAGACACACAGAAATGYAGAAATATCGGGATTCTTCTGTATTCTCTATGGCTGAACTTTGTCAGCAAAAGAGCAGAAGAGTGGGACAGACTGCTAAGTATCCTGTGTCTACAACATCCTGATTTTAAACACGTGTTAACTCTGTTTCAGAGCAATCTCAGATCTCAACATCTTCCCCTCAGGGGTGACCTCATTTTCAGTGTTAAGGATGGCTCTTAATTGCATGAATTTGTCAGAAATACGCAAATTAGGAGCCATAATCTAAGAAAGCCAGGGACATTCCAGAACTTCATTTAGCCTTTTAGCCAATTAATTTATTCTAGCCTTGAACATAGTCCCTAAAGCAGGAAGATTTCAGAGATATATAGAACGTACAACTGTTTTTTTTTTTTTTAATGGGACAGAGCCTTAAGACTACAGCAAGTGACTGACAGCCTATGTGATCTATGTGTTATGCAGAACAATCCAAGAACTGACACTCTTGTTCTAGTCAAGTCTATTCAAGTCAAGACTTGGAGCAATGGGTCCTTTCCATTGTCAGAAAAGAGCCATGAGAAAAATATGCACAGCTTTGGCCAGTGATAGCTTTTTGTCATTAAACTGACTGTGGCTTCACTACAAATGATAATCAAGCTCCTTTCATCAGCATTACAAAATTTATAATTYAAGTTTCTGTGCGTCAGTCTCTGTGGGTGCTGTCATGCACATCTCTGTGTGAGTTCACACACACACAGAACAATCTTTCAAGTGTGGTATTTCCTTTTGGAATGCATTCTAAATCTGCACATACCTCAGTAACTTGGGGATGGAAAACAAGAAGACATCACAGATAACTAAGCTGAAGGTGCCAAGCAGAAAATAGCTTCCAAACATGCTCCATAGCGCTTTCAGTAAGGGCCCACTCTGACTCTGCTCTGATTGCAGCAGAACCTGCGTCTCCTCAGCTTCTGCTAAGCCAGTTTCACTCTTCTTAACCCTTTTAAATGTCATGGACTCCATTTTTCTAAAGAAAAAAAAACAATAAGAAGTCCACCTGCAATGGAGAAAGTTTGAGGATATTCTGCTTTCATTGTTAAATATCCCACACTGGGTTTTATATCATGTGCAGTATAAATGTACTTGAGAAAATGTTCCCTCCCCCAAAGAACTTAAAGCTTCCGCTTCCAGGAACTAAAGTATGTTCTTCAGAAGATATCAACACTCAAAATCTAATTTTGTACAAGGAAACTCACTACTGACTCACTAAAGAATAATGACTCCCAAATATTCACAGCAGAGAGTTAGTTATTTTTCATATATCCTTTTCTTTGTTCAATTGACAATTCAATGGGAATGAATTCATCTGTATTCATGTATTTGTGCTGAAGTGATCTGCATGGCCCTCTGTGGGGATCAGAGGGGAGAAAGGCATCTGTTTGGAGATGATGTGTCAGCACCTGTGCATCTTTTTTGTTCTGCACCATCTAGAAGAGAAACCTGAGCGCATCACATACCCTCTAGACCAAGTACTCACTGCTCTGATTTGCTACGATATTTTTTCCATTCTCTTTCAATATGGGCAACAATTTCTTCTGAGGAGTTTTCTTTCCTCACTGACCACAGGTCATCCACATCCAAGGATTGCTGATAGCCTTTCCTGACAAGCCTGGAGAACACAGAACCTGCTATAATCTAAGGAGAGAGGGAGTTTTTTGCATGTAGCATATTTGAAACAGATGGTTAGTGCTCCATAATAGGTCATGAGAGTTGCTTACATAGAACTTTATTTAGAAATATGCTTTCCCAGAATAAACATGAATATTCAGGAACAGCAGTTTTTTTCAAACCCATGTGCTATCTTCTGCCAACATAACTGTCCTTTGCAAGCAAGTCCAAATTCTGTTTTAAATTGTACTGAGACTTGGGGCACGGGTAGTGGGAAACCAAGTGGTGTTTAACTGAGTCTATCACTTGGTGAGACCCAGCCTWGGCCTCATCACTGCTGGCAATCAGGCCCAGAGGATGTAATCCCTTCTGAATGCAGAGCACCTGGGTGGGTCCTGGTCCCTCTCTGACATGTTGTCTCTGCCCAGTATTGTTACAGGGAGGTCTGCYCCAGGTAGATGGGGCTGTGGGTGGTGTAGAGAGATTGTGGTGGATTACTGAGGTCTCTTTCAGGATTGGGAGGGCTCTGTAGAAGCACAGCTAGAGTTATCCAGGATTGCAAAGTCAGCTTTCAAATTTATGGTTTAAAGTTTTTTGGGAGAAAAAAAACCAAACCAAAACAAAAAAAACATGGTTTTCTTACCCAGAGAACCACCAGTATGTGATTTTGGAAAGAAAAGAGGTGTTGGCTTCTGGACACTGATTCTGATGGAAGGAAAAACATGGAAGATATTTATATGTGGAAGTGGCTACAGGTTAGATAAATACAGTCACCTCCTGTGCTTCCAWAGGAGAAGTAATCAAAAAGGAACAATCCCCATTAATGGCCCCAGACAAGGTGAACGTATTGTGGATGGTCTGTGTGATCAGGAGGGTTTGGAGAATTAGTTTTCAAATGATGCCTAAGATGAAGAAGGAAAGATTTGCACTCTTCACAACCAAAGACGTTCATTTTCTCAAGCACAGAGCTCAGCCCTACTCATCCCTCACTCAAGATAATGTTGATGCTTTTGTGCTTGCTTGGTGCCCTCCCAACTCAGGAGTGAACCAGGGGGGCTTATTAGTCTTGTTAGCTTAGCTAGGGCTGGGAGGAATGGGAAAATCAGAGAAGCAKGAAAAAGCTTATGAGTAAGTGGCAAACTTATGGGAAAACTGGGAGATGGGAAGAGTGAGAGGAGGAGTGCTAGATTAAAAAAAAAAAAAAGAGAGAGAAAGAGAGAAAGGGAAACAGGCTGGGAAATAGGCTGGGTTATGGCACTCCCAAGAGGGCAAAGAATCCATCACATTAATGGCAAATGCAGGTGTTCTGCAAATAAATTGGTTCAGTCCAAACTGAGTAGTTAAACTACCTGTTACTTTTTAAAAATCATGTCCTTTATAGAGAATGATGCTTTTGACATCTCAGATAACCATGTTTCTGCATACTTGCAGGAATTTAAATTCCTGACTGGACAACATACCAGTGCATTCTGAGAAGCTGCTATACTCACAGGGCTGTTGGCAGCTTTTGAGAAGAAGGGAGGCTGATCGACTAAGCAAAAGAGCACAAGTTCTCCTAGCACCAGGCTAGCGTAGAGGTAGGTTGAAATGTGGTGGAAAGGGTCTTCCAGGAAGCCCTACGAAACAGAATACTGTTGAGACTGAGATAAAGAATGTGAAATAGTAGAGAAAGGTAACATATGAGATCCTAAAAGCCATTAACTCATACAAAATATGAGTGTATTTTCTATAGTTGGATTTATTTAAACTGTGATTATGTAGAGCTACTTAAATGAAAAACTTTAAATGGAAAAAATACCCAAATAATATGAAGTATAATATACCAAGATATTTATGCTGATACAAAATCTGGGGTGAGGCCAATTTTTAGTGACATATGTACATTCATTTTGCTTTTATTCATATAGGAAGTCATTTGAGCTGTCAGAAAAACATGGATGGAGATGTTTAAGAATCATCAACCATTCCTCTCAACAAATAGAGATATATTGTTTAGAGCCTTCATGCTCCTGCATGTTAGATATACATCATTTCACTTACTCCTTCTACGGCATGTTGGATTTTGGAACTAAGCATCACAACTGCAGACAGGAATGTGAGCAGCCAGTAAATCAGCAAGATGCCTGAAGACTGAGTGCCCACCATTCTTTCCACCTGGGTGAGGAACATGGCAAGAATCTGAGAAGAAGTGAAAAAAATGTCCAGGTAAGTGTCTGGTAAAGCCAAACATCATTATCAAATTAATGGATACATAAAGGAAAAGAATATATGTATGTTTGTTCAAGCATTTCAAGATGCTCAGAACTGAACTGCTGCTAAGAGGTTAAAGCTGAAGGACATGTGCAGTTTTGCACTCAATAATGTAGCTACTGAAAGGGCAAGCAATCAAACTATAGGCAGGCCAAGAGGTTGGGAGGATCAGAGCTACAAATACACAATGAGAGAAGGGAGGAGGCACTTAGCTGAGCAGGAAACCCATTTCATCAAGATATCAACCACATGTTGTAGCTGTATGAAACTAGATTTTGTCCTCTTGTTGTGAGATCCCTTCCTGATCACTCCTGCTGCCTCAGTTCCTGTGAGGAACTCTCCCCACAGGCTGTAAGTAGTTGAAGACCCAGTAGTCCTGCCCCATCTCCAACTCGCTGCACTCCAAACCACAGAAACTCATGAACAGCAGCTCCACCCTGCAAAGGCTTCACAGCAGTTTTTACTCCCCAGCAGCTTCTTCTGCTCAAACGTGCTGAGAAACATAAGAAATACAAGGAATATTGACCCCAGGAAGGCTAAGCTGGACCACGTGCAGAGAAAATAAAGGGAGAATTACCGTTGTAATCCCCAGCACTGCAGGGGTAATGATGATTGCTGGAGCCCAGGGGATTCCTTGGTTTATTTTCCAYAGCATGAGGAAGACATTTGAAAAACAGAGTATCACAAGGATGAATCCAAGGACCTGGGGCAGAGACAACAAACACATGTTGGAATGGACTGAAATGGTGATCAGATGATCCTCCAAGTAGCCTGGGCTCTAAAATGGAGAGGTGGGAAGGCTGGTTCGGTTGGAGAGTAAATGTTRAAACAAACACAGAGATGAATTGCCAAGGAAGAGGTGATGATTAAAAAAAAAAAAAAAACTCTGAATCAAAGTTGCCATAATGTTAGGATCAAACCAGAGCTTAATGCCCTTACCATTTTAGTTTTGAAGATGTGGGATATCCTAATATAGCCTTTGTTTTTGTGTCGAAGATACAAGTAGTAGAATGGAAAACATATCCAAAGATAGGCAGAGGGGATCCAAGGAATGACTGTGTTCTCGAAGCACCAGGTGAATCTGGGGGTGTTTGTATTCCACGTCTGGTTCCAGTCCTGACACAGAAGCAAAACAGGAATGGCAAAGACTGCACAGTTGCACCAGCTCTTATGTGTTGCTAGTGCTATGCTGAGATCTATTAGAATGTTACAGACATTTTATTTAGAGCTAGCAGCTGCTAGAAGAACAGCAAAGTGTCATAGGTGAGGRAGTGAGGGCTCAGTGGTAGCATTTTGGAGGGAGTAGAAGTGGAAGAATAGAGAGAAAAGAGGTTGGAAAGTCAGATAGTAATGAAAATACAGCATGTGCCAGAGGAAAAGAAAGATGACATGCAATAAAATTGAATGTGGAATGAGATAAAATAATTACAGAATCAGAAAGATAATGGCCAGTTGGGAACAGTCAACAGCTGAATGGACAGCAAGCAAGTGTTAGCAGTGCAACAACTGATGATCAAAAAAAAAAAAAAAAAAAAAAAAAAAAAAAAAGACTCCAAAAGACTCAAGGCAAAGACTCCATGCTGGCAGATCCAGGGGATTAAATAATGTCCAAGACTGAGGGACCTGTGTGAGAACAAGTAGTTTTTTTGGTTGCTATGATCAGGCTCTGCTTTACTTGCTAACGCTCACAGGTTTTGGTGCATGTGAAACTTTAACGCCCAGAGATGGAAGGAGTCACAAGGCATATGGCCTAAATCTTCAAGCTTGTGTTCCCAAAGGAATATTCCTGAATGATCTGTCAGCATCCAAGTATCAATGACCTGTTTTTTTCATGTATTTCAGCTCTAATTCCAAAGCAACTTCACCTATGGTGTGTTTTGGAAAACGTCTTTTTCTTAGCAGCTGCAGAAGTGAAGCCAGTGCACAAGCAGCCAGCTGGGAACATCCTGGCCTACACAGCTCAGTTCTGCCTGGTGAAGAAGGGAACTGGGCTGGATAAAAATGGTTCAGCGGGCATTTTTTCTGGGTTATGGCATATAGCAGAAATAGTTACAGCAGACTCCAAGCAAGTATTCAAATGACAGAAGTTATCATTTTGCTGCCTTACTGAAAGTATAGCTCCAGGCTTAACTCTGTAATGAACCTGTCTGACAAGTGTCTGCAGCACATGGCSAGACTGTTCCCTTCTCTCGGTCCTTCATCCTGCGTCTCCACAACCAGAGCTGCCCCTGGCGGGTCCTGGTCGGGACAAGGTGCCGGAGGCGCCGCTGGGGCCCAGGCAGCCCCGTGGGCGCCCATGCTGAGCCCAGCCGGGGTGCAGCATTGGGGACACCAGGGCTGGCTGCCGCCGCGATGAGGAGGGTCCCGGCGCTCACTCACCCAGAGCCCCGCGGCACCGGCGCGGGAGCCGCACAGCCCGCTGCTCGCCGCCATGGCACCCTCGCCCTTGTCCCCGCTGCCCCCGGGGCGGCCGCCCGCACTCGGCCGGCTGGAGGAGGCCGCCCCCCTCCCTCGCAGTGGGAGCCTGCTGGGGCTGCGATGGGGCAGGCAAGGCGGCCCGCAGGGAGCCGTGTAGGAGCCGCAGGAGCCCTTGCTGCCGGCTGCACTCCTGCGCGGCGGCCCTTGCGCTCCCGAGAGGCGCCCCGGGGAGGCAAAGGGCAGCGGTGCCGCSGGGAGGCACCCGGCGGGTAAATGATTGTCCGAGGGCAGGAGCGTGGGCCCGGCCAGGACACGGGCTGGCGGGGCCCCACGGGGTTCTCGGCGTGCTCTTTGGTTCTGTTGTGTCCTGCAGGGACACAGGGCTGCACTCAGTGCGTGTCCCATGACAGACCGGCCCTCCCAGGCTTTCCGAAAGGGCTCGCTCGCTGTCTGCCGTTCCTGGCACTGCAGTGGGTCCATCGGGGCTCCTCGTGCCCCGGCAGCTCCTGGCAGCTCTGCATCCCCCTGGGCACCAACCCAGCCGGGGCTGCTCGGCGCAGAGTGATCCCTGTGCACAATTTCCCCCATCCCAGCAGCTCGGCCACCCGAAAGGCAAATCCTGGAGACCTAAGGCACATCCCGAAGCTGCCGAGGAGAAAGAAAKGGGGAACGCGGGAGGAAAAACGGGAAGCGCAGGGCAGAGGCAGGGCTGCCCGACCCGAGCGGCASGGGCCGCGCCGCTCCCGGCCGACGATAAAAGGGAGCCCCGCGCGGCGCCAGCGGCCTCCGCCCGGCAGGGGGCGGCAGCGGCGGCGCTTCCGGGCGGCGGGCGCTGAGTCAGCGCGGGCGGCAGCGGCGGCGGGATGGGCGCCTGGGCCGCGGCGCTCGCCCTGGCCGTGGCCTTTGGCTGCGCCCGCGCCTCCGAGGACATCGTCGTGGGCTGCGGCGGCTTCGTCAAGTCCGACGTGGAGATCAACTACTCGCTGATCGAGGTGCGCGGCCCTGCCCGGCCCTGCCCCGCGCCGGAGCCCCCCGGGCCGCGGAGCGGCTCCCGCCCGCGCTGCCCGCCCCAAGCCGCAGCTTTGCTTCTCTGTTTCCCCGGCAGATCAAGCTGTACACCAAGCACGGCACCCTCAAGTACCAGACCGACTGCGCGCCCAACAACGGCTACTTCATGATCCCGCTGTACGACAAGGTGAGCCCGGCCCGCGCCCTTAACGTGGCTCGCTGCTCCCCGGCGGCTCCCCCGGGCCGTGGGCGCCGCACGGAAACCTCCGTTTTCTGGCCGGAGAAATGAGTGTTATTTTGCTGTGTAAGGATGTGTTTTGATGGGACCAAAATGAAAATAACTGAGCAATAGTTGGCTGCAATTACAAATGCCTTAAATATAAAAATAATGGAGGAGGCTCAGAGTGACTCAGAGTTTTCACAGATATTTAAGTTGGGAAAAGAGAGAGAAACTGGCCTCTCCTGGTGAAAGTATTTTGCTCTTTAATGAGCTGGTTAATTTATGGAAGAGAAGGAAACTCTTCTCAAAGAATAAACCCTTCTAAGCTTGAGCATGTGAGACTCCCTGAGGCCGGGGGTTTTGCCCTTCGGCCTTGGGGCAGGTTCAGTGGTGCCCCTGTCTRCAGGAGCCCCTGTGTGCACTGCTGCCCTTCTGGTGCACAGCTTTTAAGGACAGAATTTGTTACCTCATGTTTGGTGAAGTGTCTGAGCAGGGTTTGCTATGAAAATACTAAAGGCAGATTCAGGGCACATGTGTTTGGACAGACATTGCTGCTGGTTGAGTGGAGTATCCTAGGTAGAAGGAAAGGAAAATGGGACACTTGACTCTTGTGCTTGCATTCTCTGTCTGTTTTGTCTTCTCTCAATCTTTTAGCTAAATTGATTTTTAGTTTGGTGAAAGATTGTTATTGTTTTTTATTTTTAGGGGGATTTCATTCTCAAGATTGAGCCTCCCCTAGGGTGGAGTTTTGGTAAGTGGTTATATCTTTTCTTGTAATAAGACTGTGTATGTGCACTTGGGATTTCAGCTGTGTCTAGCTTGCAGATAACAACAAGTGCTYTTCAAAAGAAGTCCTACTGTCTGATTTTAGTACCTAAAAAGTACTTACTGAATCGGAGGAAAATCAAGCTGTAAATAGCGAGTGTGAGAGGTTAATCCCTGAGCTGCTTTAAGGGAATGTGGGATTTTGACAGAGATTGCTGYAATGGGGGAGGCAGAAAGATTTTCAGCATTTAGATGTGTGGAGGTAAACTTTGCAGAGACAAGGCTACCAAACCATAACTTGGGTGCTTAAGGTAGTGCGTTTCTGTAAAAGTTTTGTAGAGCTTAAGTAGAGTTGTGCCGTGAGGCCTCTGTCACTAACTACCAAGTTCTTTCACTGTTTTTTCATCTCTAGAACCGACCAGTGTAGACATCCATGTGGATGGCATTAATGACATCTGCACAAARGGAGGCGATATTAACTTTGTGTTTACTGGCTTTTCTGTGAATGGAAAGGTTAGACCCCTTTATTTTTGTTTATTCCATCTCATTTTAATTCTGCCTTCATAGAAACGTTCTTCCTTGACTGCAAGGTACTTCATTTATTCTCTGTTTTCTCTTTGTTCTGACAGGTTCTCAGCAAGGGTCAGGAGTTGGGTCCTGCTGGAGTCCAGGTTGTACTGAGAAATGCTGGCAGTGACATAAACATACAGGCAACTACCACCCAGCCTGGAGGAAAGTGAGTGTGGGAGTACCTTGTGTGCACGCTCCTTATCTRCTCATTTACACAATAGTCTTTCAGTTCTGCTAGGGCAGCTGAGATAACAATAGTTTGTTCTAATATATTTATTTAAACGTGCCGACAGTGTGATTTGCTTTTAAATAAACATTTGTTTATGACTCTTTCTGAAGAAACAAACCTTTTCTTGTCATGCAGGTTTGCATTCTTTAAAGTGCTGCCTGGTGAATATGAAATCTTTGCATCTCATCCCACCTGGACCTTGAAAGAGGTTAGAGCTTGTAATAATCCTTGCTTGCCTGTTTAATGAAGATTTATTGGCTAGACCTTGTCTTTGTTTCCTGCCGTGAGTGAGGGCCTGTGCAAGCGGGCAGGTTCAGGGAGGTTTTCCTAAATTTCATTTACRAAGACAAGAAATTAGGCAGGTCTAGCTTGGAGAGCACGAACCCAGCCAGGAAGGCCTGTCAAGTGAGCTCTTGCCTTCTATCTTCTAATTTAATACATTCTACAGATGCTTGCTTGCAGTAGCAGTGCTCTAGTCCTTCCCTTATGGGCCTGTAGCTTTCTGAGGAGCTCTRATGATCCTGGCCAATTCCTACTGTTAAAAATACTGTTTTACAGAAACCTTTTGGATTTAGTGTCTCTTTCTTTTGAATAGCCCACAGTTGCTCTTTGAATATTACTGCTCTGACTTGTATTTCTGTTGAATGTGGTAGTCTATGATTGTTATTTAGGTGCTGTAAGGCCTATTTTTGATGAAAATGTGTGTGTATGTTGTATTTCAGTCAAATACAGTGGTGCGAGTGACCAGTTCTAATGCATATGCTGCTAGCCCTCTGATTGTTGCTGGCTACAATGTTTCTGGGTCAGTAAGGAGTGATGGAGAACCCATGAAAGGAGTTATGTTTCTTCTTTTCTCTTCCTCAGTCACTAAAGAGGTAATGGAATTTGAGCCTTTTCGGTAGATGTATGGACATAAATAAGAAMGAATTAAACAGCTTGTGGACTCACAATATCCCATATCTCATCTCTTGCCTTTGTTCTGATATAGGTTAAAATACTGACACTGTAAATGAACCAGAATTGGGCACATGATGAAAAACGTTGCAAGATAATCCCTGAATTTTGTTGTMGAATGGATGTAATTTTTCATCATGAGCTTTTATTTGCTCTCTGCCCTTTCAAAGTGTAGACAAAATTCTTGAAGTTCAGCAGCTGCCATTCCTACCTTAAAAATGTGTAATGAAATGTGTGTGGAATGTTTGGTCATATGCTGAGATTTGATATGCATAGTAGACYTCTGCTCAGCAATACTATCCCTGTCCTCAGAACTGAAGTCAGTTAGTCTGTTCTAGAGTGCCAAGAAATGTTGAATTTCCCAGTTTTATGCCCTTGTTACCCTAATGTTGGTTTCCCACCCACCCCGCTCTACCTATGCRTGAAATATAAGCTATGTTACCAAGCAAAGTAATTTGTAGTTCATGTCCTTCATTCTCACATTCTCAGGATATTATTTTGGGAAAAAAAAATCCTAATTATTTATATAAATACCCCAAGGGAGGGAGTGAGGAGGATGGGGCTGGGCTGTTTTCAGTGGCGACTACTGATAGAACTAGAGGAAATGGCCACAAACTGAAACGCCAAAAGTTCTGCAGGATCTTAAGGAAACATTTCTTGACAGTGAGAGTGACAGAGCATCGGGACAGGCCGCCAAGAGCGGTTGTGGAGTCTCCTTCTCTGGAGATCTTTAAAACCCACTTGGATGCCACCCTGCGCCATGTGCTCTAGATGACCCTGTGTGTACAGGGACTAGATGATYTCTAGAGGTGCTTTCCAACCTCAAGCATTTTATGATTTTTTTTCTCTATTCTCTCAGCATTGGGTAAAGTAGTAATGCATGTATTTATACAGGATGTCATGGGYTGTAATATTTCTCCAGTGGATGGATTCCAGTCAAGGGATGAGTCTTTATCCTATTTGTGCAATGTTGTATCAAAAGAAGATGGATCTTTCACCTTTCTTTCTCTGCCTAGTGGGAAATACACTGTGGTAAGTAGCTRGAAAGTTCACTGCTGGTTTGCTATTGCGTCATTAATTTTTGTTGTGTAAACTAGCTAACATATACTCTTGTAGCTGTTAAAGGTAGAAGTAGTTGAACCACTTAAAAATGGATGAAATAATTGAGAAGGATGGTCTATGCTAAAATGTTTAACGCTGAAATAAGTTGGTGTGGAAGAGCTCGATGGYTGGTTTCTGAAACAGGGCTTATTTGCAAATTGCTGAGTCAACTGAAGTGTGAGAACTATGGAGAAAAGAATGGACACTAAGGTGTATATCCCCAGGAAGTGCTGTGGAAGGTCATGAGCTACTTAGGAGCTAGAATTACCTGGATACCTCTACTTCCGTAGAGTATCACTTCAGGACCAAAGCTGCTGAGATGCAGACGGTGTGGAAGTGTCTGTGTCTCTGTCCTTCCTACAATAGTGGTGTTGCATTCTCAGTGTTTATGGAGTAGAAGTGGAATCCAAGTTTTTCTTATTTCTTTAATCCCTCTAGTGATTGTGTATTCTCTTATTCTGTTATCCATAAACTCTCATGCACCCTTTCTGTATTTTGAGTACAGGATTACAATTCTGCCCCTTTCTGTAATCTCAAATAATACATTCTACATTTCTGAAAGATCACCTTTGTTCCTGTCTCTATCCCTCTGAGTTATCTTTCTAGCTAGTTTTTGGAAACTTTGTGCCTCACAGAGGTATCTGATGATAAGAACACGGAGATAATAGAACGCATTTCTGACATTAAAACAACATGTCTTCTTTCAGATACCCTTCTAYAGGGGGGAGAGAATCACTTTTGATGTTGCACCATCTCGGCTAGACTTCCTTGTAGAACATGACAGCTTGCAAATTGAGGTAAGTCACAGAAGTCAAGTTGTCTGTGTTAATTCTCTCCTTCAAAAGTATAACTGATTTTAGTAGAAAACAGGTGAGCAAAAATGTTTTTATAAGAATTATTGAAGACATTAGATAACATTAAATTGCACATCATGTAGACTACAGTATTGAGCATTGTTTTGTATTTCTGCACTTTCTACGTATTTACTAGGTAGAAACAGTAGGGAAGAGTTCTTTACTAAGTTTGCTTTTAATGTCTTTGTTGCAACAGTCGATGACTTTTCCAGTTGCTTAACTCAGACCATCAGATCTCTGGAGAAGAGCCTTTAAATATGTGTTAGGCAGAGTATCTTGTATAATGGTGTTAAAATGTGTGATTTGGGCCTTCTGAACCGTCGTGATGCAAATAAATTGCAAATCTGTTCCTGTACTCCAGTTAAGACTCCATTCTTTGAGCTTGATCTAGAATTTTAATTTGATTATCTACAGAGATTTTATTTTTAAAGGGGAAAATAAATTTCTTTTGCATGAGTGGAAAGAAAAAAGAATTGCTACAGATGTCTGAATGCTTTTACAAAGTAATGATTAAAGTTAACTTTTTTCATATTTCAGCCTGTTTTCCATGTGATGGGTTTCTCTGTCACAGGCAGAGTGTTGAACGGTCCTGAAGGAGAAGGAGTTGCAGATGCCACTGTGACTCTAAACAATCAAATTAAAGGTATGCATTGATCTTGGTCTTTGTTGCTATAGGGAAGTCTTTAAGGGAGACTTTTGGTTAACCTCAAGTACAAGACTTGTCCATGAGTTGGAATTAAACATTCAGAATAATACACTATTTCTGTTGTGATTTGTTTGAAATATTAAAGAGCTTTTCATTCAGCTGATTAAGTTTCTATTTTCTGAGTTCAAAGGAGAGCATTAGGTATTCATCTGTTTTATCTTGCTTTTGTAACTTCTGTTAAACCCATGCCAAATGGTACTGTGTACCATGTGTGCTATAAATGGTTAAAATGCAAAAACAAAAGTTGATCTGGTAAGAAAGCATAATGTTATTTTTTTTGTTATATGATGTGAATTAAGACTAGGCTGAAGCAGTGCGTGATCTCTGTGGTTCTGAAACTCAAGGCATTCATTGTTGTTCTTTGATCTTTTTAACTCATCTTTATCTGTTGCAGTGAAAACAAAAGCTGATGGCTCTTTCCGCCTTGAGAACATAACAACAGGTACATACACAATTCATGCCCGGAAAGAGCACCTCTTTTTTGATGCTATTACAGTGAAAATTGCACCAAATACACCTCAGTTAGCAGACATCATAGCAACAGGGTAAGTGTTGGTGTCATGATGAGAGGGTAAACTGGTATATGGGAAAACCTTTGGAAATGAGAGGTCCTTTCCTGTGTTGTACTTGGACACAGAGACCTGGTGTGAACTAAGCAAAACAAAGGGACCTGGTTGTGTCCCTAGGAACTCCTCCTTCTGAGGAGATAGTGGCAACCTGCAGCAATAGTTGTAAAGTCACCAAAGGAAAACTAGGAAATAATTAAGAYGATTGGCAGCTCACTCTTATGGACTTTGCTATCTCTACTTTTGAGTGTGTGCTATTAAATGATCAGTTACAGTTCATGTTCAGCCATTGAATTGGCTGTACTGTAAAAAGTGAAAAAATAAAACTTAAGGAGGGGAAAAATCGTTATTTTAACCACTGGCATTTATTTTTCAGATTCAGTGTGTGCGGTCGCATCTCGGTGATTCGTTTTCCTGACAAACAGATCAATAAGTACAAGGTGACCATGATGCCTGAAGACAAGGACAAAGCATYGCTGCTTACAACAGAAACTGACCCTCATGGGACATTTTGTTTTAAGGCAAAATCGGGCACATACAACATTCAGGTAAGAATTAGCTTCTGTTAATCCACTGCAGGATGGTCAAGACTTGTTATAAGAATTTAAAGAGTTCATTTCTAAAGTTTGAGAAGTTGAAAGAAGTTGAAAATAGGCTTCTGTGGTCTCTTCTACTTGCTGTAGGGATTTTAATATCAGCCACAAGATTCTGAAAAGTGTTTTGAGAGGCTAACAGTAAATTTCCATTTTTCTTATTTCTGTCAAGTTGAACTTGGTATCTTGAGTGACTGTGACTGATATTAAAAGCTGAAAATGATGGAAGTGTTGATGTTGTGTGCTCTTTAGGTCATGCTTCCAGAGGCTGAAACCAGAGCAGGATTGGCTTTGAAACCCAAAATATTCCCTGTTACTGTCAGAGACAGACCAGTAATGGATGTAACCTTCTCCCAGTTTCTGGCCTCAGTCTCAGGAAAAGTCACTTGTTTAGGTAAGCTGATCTTGAAAGGGAGTGAAAATGGGAGGGCTCTATCACTGTGTGTGTGACTAAGCACTGTTTGGATCAAGGCAGTTGTGGTTAAACCTATCAGCCAATAAGTAAGTTAACTCCTAGCCTGTTTCCCATGAGTATCCACTAGATTCACCAGCAGCAAATGATTCAAGTTCTGTTATTTTCGCTCTTTATCTAGGCTCTGTCTGAGCCTTTTCTACACTTTGTGTCCTGTCTTGTTTGGACCCAGTAGTCTCCACAGAGAGGTATTAGGCTAGGAATTTAGTGTTTAGGTTCTGGCTGTTTCTTGCTATGAGATGCAAGAATATTAACAACCTTGAAATTACTGAAGAGTGCAGCAAAGCGCTCGAGAAGCAAGAGTAAAGGTTTCTACTGTGAATGCAATGTAATTTTCTGCTGTCCTTTCTGCACAGATGCTTGTGGTGACCTAATGGTGACATTACAGTCTGTGAGCCGCCAGGGTGAAAAACGCAACCTTCAGCTTTCTGGAAGCATGGACTCAGTGGCCTTCACATTTGAAAATGTGCTACCTGGCAAATACAAAAGTAGGACTATGGGGATTTCCTTGAATCATTAGCTCAGTATCTAAATTAGTGACTTAGTTTCTTTGCTTATTATGCGTGATGCATGTGTGACACACGCCCTCATCTCCATCCCTGGAAAAGTGATGGAACAGCTCATCCTGGCTGCCGTCTCCAGACATGTGGAGGAGAAGGTGTTCAGTAGTAGCCAGCATGGATTCACCACGGGGAAGTCATGCTTGACTAACCTGATGGCCTTCTGTGAAGGAGTGACTAGCTGGATAGATGAGGGCAGAGCGGCGGATGTCATCTATCCGGACTTTAGCAAGACTTTTGACCCTGTCCCTCACAGCATCCTCCTGGGCAAGCTGGGAAGGTGTGGGATAGATGAATGGCCGGGAAGGTGGATTAGGAATTGGCTCAGTGGCAGGGTGCAGAGAGTGGTAGTCAGTGATGCGGAGTCTAGTTGGAGGCCTGTAGTTAGCGGTGTCCCCCAGGGGTCGATCCTCGGTCCGGTTCTATTCAACTTGCTCATTAATGACCTGGATGAAGGGATGGAGTACTCCCTCAGCAAGTTTGCTGATGATACCAAACTGGGAGGAGTAGCTGATAGCCCTGAGGGCTGTGCTGCCATCCAGAGGGACCTGGACAGACTGGACAACTGGGCAGTTAGAAATCTCATGAAGTTCAACAAGGGCAAGTGCAGGGTCCTGCACTTGGGAAGGAATAACCCTGGACACCAGTACAGATTAAGGGTTGACCTGCTGGAGAGCAATCCCGCAGAAAGGGGCCTCAGTGTCGTGGTGGATGAGAAGATGACCATGAGGGAGCAGTGTGCCCTGGTGGCCAAGAAGGCCAACGGGATCCTGGGGTGCATTAAGAAGAGCGTCTCCAGCAGGTCGAGGGAGGTGATCGTCCCCCTATACACAGCCCTGGTGAGGCCACATCCAGAGACTGTGTCCASTTCTGGGCTCCCCAGCACAAGAGGGATGKGGAGCTGCGGGAGTGAGTCCAGTGTAGGGCTACGAGGATGATCCGTGGCCTGGAACATCTGCCCTGTGAGCAAAGGCTGAGGGAGCTGGGCCTGTTCAGCCTGGAGAAGAGGAGGCTGAGGGGGGACCTGATCAGTGTCTATAAATACCTCAAGGGAGGCAGTGAGGAGGAGGGGGCCGGCCTCTTTTCAGTGGTGGCCAGYGATAGGACTAGAGGAAACGGCCACAAACTGAGGCACCAGAAGTACCACAGGAACTTAGGGAAATACTTCCTGACAGTGAGGGTGACAGAGCGCTGTAACAGGCTGCCCAGAGAGGTTGTGGAGTCTCCTTTGGAGATCTTTAAAACCCGCTTGGACGCAGCCCTGTGCCACGTGCTCTAGGTGACCATGYGTGAGCAGGGGGGTTGGACTAGATGACCTCTGAGGTCCCTTCCAACCTTAAGCATTCTATGATTCTATGGTACTATTTATCCTGTATATCACATGCCCGACATGTAAACTGGCTCTGAAACTTGAGAAATACTAGAAAATCCTGCACCCCTGGTGCATTGTGTTTCTTCAGTCTTGTACATTTAACCTGATTGTCAGTTAACRGATAACTGCTCCTGTAAGTTTTGGGGACTACATTCTTGTCTCATGGATTGGTCTCATGGTGTAAAGTGAAAGAGCATTATCATGAACTGAATTGTCCCAAATGTGAGAACAGGGGCATATTCTAGTTCTTTTGCAGTAACTTGTCCCTCCTAAGAACTTTTATAACTCCTCTGGCCAGTCTGACTTGGCCTCCTGGGAAAAGAAATTGCTTTCCTGGGGAAGGTATGGATACATACAAATTGCTGATTTTATATGTGAATCAGAACATCAATCCATGCTTGAAATTGGAGCTGGAATCTAAAGCTCTCAAGGCTCCTCTGACAAGTACAAGGGTGGTGTACATTGCAGAATTTCCCAGACTTCATTGTTCTGTTTTGTAATAGCTTTTCTATTACAAGATGTGCTGAATTCCTGGTGCTGCTGCGGATCCTTGAGCCAGGTCTGTTGCCAATACTGTTTTCTGTGCTGATGCTTATTATGCATCTGAATTGAAAGACTTTTGTTAGGCAGCAGTTAGCATGTTATAACCTTTTACATGACAGTAACTGCCCTTATTCACGGAACTTTATATTACTAAAATGCCTTATGTGGTGTGTATTCTAGCGAGTATTGTACATGAAGACTGGTGCTGGAAGAATAAGTCCCTGGAGCTGGAAGTCATGGAGGAAGATGTTTCAGGAGTAGAATTCAGACAGACTGGATATATGCTGAGGTGTTCTCTTTCCCATGCAATTACACTGGTATGCAGGTGACAAATACTCCTACTTTTTTTTTTAATAAACTTTTATAGGTAGGTTGGACAGTGCTTTGAATTAAGGCTTTCTTGTGTCTCTGGGGAGTCCTAAAACACAGCAACACTAATGGTTAGAATGCTTTCAGATTTGTCCTTTGGGACTGATAAAATGATCACTTGTTGTTAGCTGCTAGAAAGGATAAGCATTAGTGTACCTTTAGGCAAATATTGTTTTCATTTTGTTGTTTGATGCTTGCTAATAGTGAGTTTTAATGTGGCTTCACAGGAGTTTTATCAAGATGGAAATGGACCAGAGAATGTTGGCATTTATAACCTATCCAAAGGAGTTAATAGATTCTGTCTTTCAAAGCCAGGTACCACTTCTAAGATGTTATTCTGAAGAAAAAAAAAAAAAAAAAAAACTTGTCAACTAATACTGCTAACAATTAAAAAAATGTAGTTTCTGAGATTCATGAGTGACATTATTCTACTTTCATCTGTATCTGAATGCTCTATTACAATATCTTTATAATGCTGTTGCTATAGTCTTTTAAGTAAATGTGTGTTCAGAATTTTTTTTGTTGTGGTTAGTTGAAGGACTCTGATTTTTGAAAAATGAAGAACATGTTTTAATAACTATCTTTTTGTGAAACGTGGCTATATCTCAGGTCTCATGTAGTCTTTAGAATCAGCTGAATGCCAGCACACTAAGCTCGAACTTTTTTTTCAGAAGATCTTTCTTTGATTTATTGTTTGCAGGTGTATATGAAGTGACCCCACGTTCCTGTCACCGGTTTGAGCATGAATATTACACTTACGATACGTAAGAACAAAATAATACTCTGGTTTTGATCTTTTGCCTGTCAGTTTGCCTTCATAAAGCTTCCTTCTGCTGCCTTTTTTCTTCATTCAGAATGTGTTGCTATGATTGGCTTTAACCAATAGAGGGAAGCTTTAGCAAGGTAGATATGTCCTCTTGCCCTTTGCAGTGTTTAGAAAAGAAACATTCCGTGAATGATAGGCTTTAAAGGTGTTTTTGAATGTTTTAAATGGATATTTCTGACTGCCTTCTGTCTGTGTTTGATATGTTTTGCTTTGTAATAAAGCAGGGATATTTCAGTGGAAATTGTTGATCAGTTGAGAAGATTGAGATGCAACAAGTAGGGTGGGAAGTTGACTAGAAGACACATCACACTTGACCTGTATTCCTGTAGTCACAGTTTGTGGTGACCTGATTCTGCTCACCTCAGTTTTTCAAGATGAATGAATACTCAATGTAACTGTCAGTGAGCAGTACCGATCTGCTTGGTCAGCCTTGTTTTATTAGTTATTGCTAGATTATAGTTCAGCAATGATTCCTTGTGCTCAAAAAGAGGGTGTCTCCTGCCGGGGTTGGGGGGAAGGCATTAAAAGGAGATTGCTTTCTGCTGTGTTAATTAGAAGTAGTTCAGAGGACTGTGTGATAAATGTCAGAGCCAGAATAAAGCAGGTACGTGTGCAGGAGAAGCAGGAATCCCATTTTGAAAGCAAAGAGCAAATTAGACTTGGGGGGGTCTTGAGTTATGTAAAATATGGAGAACCGGTTAGTATCCTTCTGCTGTGGGTGAAGCAGCTCTGCGTGTGAAATCAATCAAAGCAACTTTGACTTGAAAAGAAGCAGGAGGCACAAAGCAAGGCAGTAATTTGGCCAATGTCATGGAGTAATTTGGAGCTCAGAGCTGAGTAAAACCCCCTTTCCAATAGGCTGTCCCCAACCATATAGCCTTGCCTGTGTCATTTGTATATTGTCCTTTATAAAGCACATTAACTTGGGGATGGGAGCACAAACTCAGCTAAATGAGATTTGATTACTTTCTTTAGGAGGGAGCCCTTCAGTTCATCTATTTTATTACTTTGATTTACAGATCCTCTCCTAGCATACTGACGCTCACTGCAATTCGACATCATGTCCTTGGCACAATTTCAACAGATAAACTAATGGATGTGACTGTTACCATTAAGTAAGAACAAAGAAATCTTGGGCCTATAAAATGGGTTGAGGAGAGTGTCTTGCTCATTAAGTCTTATTTTGCTTTTAATACCACAGTGGCTGCTTTCTAAGGCAGTGGGTTCCCAATCTAGGCTGTAAGAGCTTTGTTTGTTTGTTTTTAATGTTAAGCTGTGCTTTGAGTACTCTGTAGATAGATAAATCTCAGTCATTACTTTGAAAATTGTCTTTTCCTTTCATTATAGCCCATTTCCATTTGTCTGTCATGGTAAAAATAAATAATTTTTTTTTGAGTGTTTATACATTTAAGTGAACTGAAATTTGAGAATTCAGAGGATGTTTTAGTCTTTTCTGCACTCCTTAGCACTGGGATCTATTTTTCCTTTTTATTACTTCAAAAAGAGTCTGCTGCTTTAGAGCATCGCTAGTGGTGTGAAGAGGGCTATAAAAGGAAAAGCRTGCAGAGTGATTACACACTAATGTGCCAATTTATGTTTAGCCAAGCACACAGCTCACTGGGGAACACTGATTTGTGAACAGCTTTAATTGTACAAGATGCCAGATCAGCCTGAAAGCCTGAAAGAAGCTGATAATGGTGAATGCTTGATTAGTGTTTTGCTGATGTCCACTTGTTTTAGGCTAAGGGAGTGCAAACTTTTTTGGGGAAAGTGGAGAATATATCTTAACAGAGAGTGAATTGCCTGCTGTTCCCTAAGTTCAGGGAAGTTAGAATTCCAGCTACTGGGCAACTACAGCAGTTGAAATAAAAAAAAAAATAAAAAAATAAAAAAAAAAAAAAAAGAGAGACAGTAAAGAGCCTTTAGGATTTTAAGAACAGTTTGGTGAAGTGAATATGACACCAAACTTCCAGGTTGGTTAGATTTTTTTTATTATTATTTTTTATTTTTTAAGGCAATTGGTGAGTGGTCTGGAGGCAGCTCAATTGCCACAGACTTTCTCTGCTTATGTCTGTGGGAGTCTTTTCATCTGTCGAGAGACAAATGAATATTTCAGGTATTTAGAGCAGATAGGGCAGAGCTTTCCCTGGAAATTGCCAGCTATTGAAAGCATTTATTAGTGACAAAATTATTTTCTCCCTGTATGTGCTCTTCCAAACTGTGTTGCTTTGGCTTAGGAATTTACCACTCCCGCGGACTCATCAGTGCTTCTGTGAGAGATTGTTGCCCTTCTAGGTGTCTGCTATTTTGGGCAAAATCAAAATACTTTTCTCACCAAAAACACAGTTAAACCAAGATGATGAGAAAGGGGCTGAGATATAAAAGTGTGTGTGTGTTTGTTTTTCTAGCTCTGTGGTGGGATATTGAAGTGTAACAAAGTGGAGAGGCGAAGAGGCAACAGGGCTGTGACTTCTTGAATGGCCATAACACGATGGGGCAGAATTTTTGTCTGCAAGTGCTGCAGTTAGGTCCTTTTCTGCTAGGATAAGTTGCAGTAGGTTATTGTATCCCATCTCAAAAAAACTTCTAGTAGCAATTGGTTTATAGATTTGAAAGTTTTAGTTGCATGTGAAATAAATAGCAGTATTTAAAAGGAATGACTTCAAAAATTCCTGGGATTTGCCCCAGAAGCGTAAAGGGTGTAACTGATACAASAAGTTCTGAACCCTCTGTGCCAGAGGAGGTTATTTTGTTTTCTCCTTCCCGTTTTCAGATCATCCATTGACAGTGAACCTGCCTTAGTCTTAGGACCCCTGAAATCTCTACAGGAGTTGCGCAGGGAGCAGCAACTAGCAGAAATTGAGGTCCGACGGCAGGAGAGAGAAAAGAAGGGTCAAGAGGAGGAAGGATCAAAGCCACCAGTGCARGAAATGGTCGAGGATCTCCAAGGACCATTCTTATATGAATTTTCCTACTGGGCAAGGTACCTACAGACCTCCAGGGTAGAGGGTGCATCCTTTATACTGCTGTCTGATGCTGCCRCCAGACAGAGCGCTGACATATTTCATCATGAACAGAGCTGCTTTATGGAMCTTATGTTAGTTCTTGTGGCCTTACAGCTAAAGGGCAACAAATACCAGATAAAAATCTAGCTCAAGTAATGTTTTTTTTCTTCCCTTCCTGTCATTGAGTATTTAGTTGGGTTCTCTAATCAGTATGCAGTGCTGTGTACTACAAGAGCTGCTAATTAATTCCRTCTTCTAATTGTATCTTATTTACATTTTATAGATCTGGAGAGAAAATTACTGTGACGCCTTCATCAAAAGAACTGCTTTTCTACCCACCTTATGTGGAAACAGTTGTTAGTGGAGGTAAATATAAACAAACTTTTTTCTTAAAACAGATTTTAAGGCAGCCACATGTCCCTAGAGATGAGCCTATGAATAGATCTTTTGAAGTTAAAATTAGGAAGGTAGGTTCAATTGCAGAAATTTTCTGAGGACCAATTTCATTCTGTGCAAGTTGGAAATGTGTCTATTTGGTAGAAATGCAAGTACTGCTTTTTATCAGCAGAATAACCTTGCAAGTGCTGATAGACCAGCTGGCACAAGAGGAAAGACTACCTTTCCCCTAGTCTAATCTGATGTCATTTACCGCATATTATCAGAATTATCCATATTATATTTGATATCTAGAAAAATAGATGTAAAAAAAGCAATTTGTCTATGTTTTGAGACTGTTAACAAATTCAAGCTTCTGTCATGTTTTCTCTGTAGTAAACTACAGTAATAAAATAAGTAACTTTAAATCGTCAAGATTATCAGTGGTCAATTTATGCTGCCTGCCGAATCAATGTCCGTCTATCCCTCAGGTTCCTAAAGTGAACACTTTTTCTTGTCAGATATTAATAGAAAATATTAGGTGCCTTTCTGCTGTGCATATTCTAAATACATAGGTTTGTTTGTTTTTATATAATTTCTTGAAACATGGCATATGCTAGTCCTGGTCTGAACTCAACGAATTTTATCAAAGCTCAGTGTAACAGGAGCATATCATTGTRTTTATCTCACTGTAGCTGCAGGCCTTGGAATTTTTTTTAACTTTTAAWTTTTTTTTAACTTCTTGTTTTAAATCTCTTTTGCAATGACCAAGAGAGCTGTCCTGGAAAGCTGATAGAGATTCATGGAAAAGCAGGCTTATTTCTGGAAGGGCGGATTCATCCCGAATTGGAGGGTGTGGAGATTGTGATWGGTGAAAAGGGAGCAACTTCTCCACTCATCACAGTTTTTACCGATGCCAAAGGTGCTTACAGGTAATTAACACATTTCTTGTGCTTGTTTGGATTTTTTAGTTTAAGTGCTGTGTGACTTGGCACCATGTGTGAGAGATTCAAAAGTTTCTTTACAGATGCTTTTTTGTTTCCCCTCTTCCTTTGAAAATGAGTTCTTCTTTCCTTTATTTCAAGTGTTGGGCCACTCCACAGTGACTTGGAATACACCGTTACTGCACAGAAAGAAGGGTTTGTTTTGACTGCAGTAGAAGGAACTGTTGGGGACTTCAAAGCTTTTGCCCTTGCTGGTGTGACATTTGAGGTAATGTTCTAACACATCAGGTGCTGAATGAATAGAGTGCAATTTAGACCCTGACAGGCAAAGCAGATAACCTTCTTCTCCCAGCCAACCACAAATAGGACATGAGGGTCTGATAATTTTGTTGTAGGGGAAACAAATCTCAGTGCACGAGTATAGCAATAGACTATGACTTGCCAGTCATGGTACTTGGAGAGAACTTGGAGAAGTTCTATCTCTCTCTTTTCCTTCTTTTTCTTCCCTTCTTTTTCTCCCTGGAGTGGTTTTCTTCACATAGTCTGATCCAACTGGTACCTGGTTCTAATCTGTGGGATTCTTCAYTCTGGCTCCCACTGTTTCCTTTGAGCAGGGGATGGCTGCTCTAGGCACATGTACTCTGGGCCCATTTGCTGCCCAGGTGGTAGGAGCACGAACTCTGGTAGCCCTGCAGTGTGACAGGAGGGCACGTGTTGCAGAAGGGGCTGCATTTCTTCTGCTCAAGACCAGCAGTCTGTGCAGTCTGCAAGGGACCACTCTATGGAGCCCTTCTTAATGCAGCCATACCTTGTACTTACAGATAATGTTATTCTTATAAATTCTTATATATTCATAATTTRTTAATAGATCAGATCTGAAGATGACCAAGCTCTTGCTGGAGTTCTCCTGTCTCTCAGTGGCGGGGTGTTCCGGTCCAACCTTCTCACGCAGGATAATGGCATGCTGACTTTCTCCAATCTGGTAAAGCTGAAATTGATTATTCTGAACTTGGCAATGCTGTGTTAATTTGCCCTCCAAATGTTATGTTACCARTGCTTCTGACTTTTTTCCCCTCCCTTTTTCCTATGGGATTGTAATACAATGAGAGTTGTAGCTTCCCTGGTTGTGCAGGTGGCGAGGAGGRCAGCTGTTGGCTTGTTTGACAGCACTTGAAAGATGTGAAATCTCAYGTGGAAAGAGAATTCTCCCCAAAGAAAGCAGATGATGTTGGTTTCAATTACTAACATGCAATCTGCAAACATGAAAAAAAAACAAATTTGTTAGTGATTGCTTTAGAGATTTTAGAAGACGATAAACCTAATCAGATTCTTGATCTCTATCTGTGTGTAGATATGCCAGAATTAAGTTTGCACATGTGTGTTTTCTTTCCTGGTTACTTGCCTGTCCTTGAGCTCTTGTACCAAAGTATSGGGGCCATAGTTTCCCTTTTCAGACTTTGTTTCCTGATAGAGCTCCATTGTTTATTGTCCAATGTATTCTCTGTTTTTAAGTGTTCACATATTCAGTTTAACCCAACATTGGGACAGGGAAATCCAACTCTTCAAGTTGTYCTTGCACAAACATAATTTTTCAGAGTTAGTGTTTTTTGTTTCACTGCTAGTAAAGAAGTTGCTTGCTACCTCTCTGCAGAGTCCAGGGCAGTACTATTTTAAACCCATGATGAAGGAGTTTCGCTTTGAACCATCATCACAAATGATTGAAGTTCAGGAAGGACAGAATCTTAAAATCCGAATAACTGGTTACAGAACAGCTTACAGGTCAGTAAAGCTGAATTGTTTCACAAAATGYCGCGTGCTGTGTCTAGGTGCAAACATACGTCATGCAGAGTGAACATTTGCATTATACAAACTGTGAGTTATCTCCTAAYGTTCCTCTGTGCTGGAGGTGTGGGCTTTTGTTATTGTACATACGCTAATTTAGTCTATTCCTGCAGCTGAGACCAGAACGTTTGCTGTCAGTAAGAGGCCTGTGCCAGTGGCACTGAAGGGGACTTGTACTGTGTCYGTTGGGAGGGCACAGGTCTGTGTGGGCTGTAGAGGCTTCAGTATCTGACTTGAAGGTTATTCTTCTCCCTGCCCCTCAGAGCTGGATGGACKTGTTCAGCCATGAAGGATATAGAGTTAGATTCCTAAAACTGGCCTCTAAATTGCAGCTAATTTAAGTGCTCAAAGCACCTTCCCATATATATTGTAAATTCCTGTTTTCAACACTATACTAAGTATGTTTATTTCTTATCAGTTACAAAATAWATTGTTTTTAAAATATACATTAAAGCAGCATCTGTAGATCTATAGGTTTTCTTTCTACCTCTAGCTGTTACGGCACAGTTTCCTCTTTAAATGGAGAACCTGAGCAGGGAATCGCTGTAGAAGCAGTGGGACAGAAAGAATGTAGCATCTATGGAGAAGATACAGTAACTGATGAAGAGGGCAAATTCAGGCTGCGTGGGCTTCTGGTAAGAATAACAAAGTCTGCTATTTAATTTTTTGTTAGTTTAATTATATAGAAATAAAGTGGATTTTATTACTTAGCTACAGATTTCTGTTTTCCCATCATATTTGCAAGCTTAGATTCCCTTGAGTCTCTCTGTGGTTGGAAACATTTTCACATAGTAATAATTTGTTTTAGTAAAAGGGAAAAATGTGATCGTGAGAGTCTGGAACTTGCTGTCAGCACATTCTGGTGTCCTTCAAGCAGACCTGAGCAGTTGCCATGATGTGATACAAGAGCCCTGAGTCGATGCACTGAGCTTGCCTACCAGATAGGCAGTACAAGCATAGGTGTTCTGGCAGGGAGTGCGCTTGTACAAAAGAGTTTGGGGARGCATTTACTTTCTTTTGTGAAAATACTGCTGCAGTGTATGTAGCAGTCACCATTGGGTGTATGGTTGATTGTAAAACATGTCTGATGTAAGCCATTCTCTGGGAAATGCAGAAGCTGAATCTTGGGAACTGTTATCACTAGAGTAAGTGGTTGTGCTGAAGTAGAAAGGAATATTTATTTTTTTTTAAAAATTATTTAACTTTTTTCCCCTAACTACAACATTCCCCGAATGGCTTTTATCTTTTAATAGTAGTGTAACAAACTAGTGAAAGTTCAAATACAAACCTTTTTGTATTTGCAGGAAGTCAACACCCTTAATTATTCAGATAAATTTTCTATATGGGATAAGGTAAACTACTTGGATAAGGTTGCATATATTTGGGTGTTGCATTTCAGATGAAATATTGAAAAATTGTCTGACCATCCTAATTTGTTTAATGATAAAGCACATATTACTCAGTGATGGCTTTTATTATCTGAATGTTGCTTTTAGCCTGGTTGTGTGTATCATGTCCAACTCAAAGCTGAAGGGAATGATCATATTGAAAGAGCTTTRCCACAGCACCGGGCCATTGAGGTAATTTTATTTTAGTTTGTTTTTGTCAGATGACTTAGTGTGAAATATTATGTCGTGAAACTGCTGTGACTTTGTGTGGATTCTGTAGCTGAAAGGTGCCTTTAGGAAAACTGTACAACCCTAGTGATGCCAGCTGCTTCTTTGRCACCTGGCCTAACTGTAAGCTCTCTGGTAATATAGTTACTGAGTAAGCATCTCTCTTTGAAAAGAATTCAGGTTTAGAAATACAAATATCTTGGATTTTAAACATTTTTAAGCATATGAAGTTGTGTATTTTTGCAGTAGTTTACATTCTGATATGAGCACATTCCTCATTAATCATCTCTAYAGACTCAGCTCTATATAGCAATGTGCAGTGTTCAGCTCGGAAATGAAATGCTGGGACTGACTTTTAGGCTTGAGGCAGTTCCATGTGTGTAGCTCAGCTCTTTGCTCCCAAAATAACGCATGCTTTTGATACTTCTGCCATTTTTAGTTTAAATAAATCAATGCCATCAGCCTTGTGCTGATAATGCACAAGTATAATTGCGAGCTCTGTGCTCTAGAGGAAAAGTAATTGCAATTGGAAAGACTTCAAGTTTCCGTGTGTGTGTGTGTGTGGTGGTTATTTTTATTTATTTATTTTTTTTAATAGCACGAAACTCTTAGTTGAAAGTTATGAGCAGTATTTTGTTCTGTTAACTCTTGCTCTGTCCAGGAAAAAAAATGACTGTGTTGTGTGTTGCAGGTTGGGAACAGTGACATTGATGAAGTTAATATTATAGCATTTCGGCAAATTAATCAATTTGATTTAAGTGGAAATGTGATTACATCTTCAGAATATCTCTCCACATTATGTGTAAGTCAGCACTTTGACATAAGCACATAAGCACATAAGAATTGATATCAAAATGGATTGATGTGGAAACTAATCAAGTCTATACCTGTGTTACATCGATTGGGTCTTGTACCGTGTCAACTGATCATGTGTTGATGAAGTGCATGATCATAGGTGACGTTTTCAGTGCAGATGTTTTTGTCCTGAAAAGATGTGCTCAGACTTGTTCCAGGGACAAGTTAGGGGCTTGTGTGACCTTAGCCTTGCTTCTCGCTGCACAAACTTGATGAAATGGGTAGAAATGCTTGGGTGAGCTGTGGTTGGAGCTGCACTTGTGGCAGTGCTGGTTAGAACTGATGAGAATTTATTTGGGCAATTTGTAAGGACTAGGGACAGCCAAGTCTCAGCAAATGCCAGGAGTTTATAAACAATGCCGTGAATGATAGAAAATTAATTCAGTTGTTTCAGGGTGCTCCTCAAAACCCAGCGCTCTGSTCGCTGTGTCTGCTCTGAAGGAGGCACTGTGGCTGAAAGATGCACACAGGCAGCCTTGGTGGGGAGGAGGTGCTGGTGTCCTTATTGGTCTTAGTCTGCTTTGATGCAATCCTCTCAAATTGGCTTGTTTCAGAGAAAACTGTATTTAGGATCCAGGTCTAATCTGTAGCTTAAGTGTGTAGTTTGTTAATTAAGTGCAAAGAAACTGAAACAAAGCAAAATGGGCCTATCCAAAAAATGGAAACAGACCCCTTCTGCAAATTCCTAAGAAATTGTTGGGATTATTTAAAAGAATTACTAGATAAAAGATTTACTAAATTATTGATGCACAATGCACAACTACTTCTAACATATTAAGATACAGGAACATGTTGGACATTTTTTATCCCTAAATTACTTGAAGTTCTGCTAAAAGCCTATTTCTGTGATTCCATATTCAGATTAGAACAGTTTCAGGTGTTCTTAATTGACTTAAGTATCTTTGTTTTTATCAGCTGCAAAATGAATTTTCAAGTGTTTTTATCCCTTGAGATATCACGTGTCTAACATACTTATGCTGTTACAGGCACAAATGCCTATTTTTGTGCTTGTTTCTTTCCCTCACAGGTGAAGCTCTACAAAAGTGAAAACCTTGACAATCCAATTCATACAGTCAACTTAGGTCTATCGCTGTTTTTCCATTTCCCACCACTGCTCCGGGATGGAGAGGTAAGGATAATGATGAATGATTAGCTTAACTTGCTTTACTTTTTATTTTTCCCTGAAGACACTGAATTGTTATTGCTGGCCTGCCTGCAGTAATCTAATTTTGTCTCAAAGACTGTTACTGTCACTGTAGACTGAGTTCATTTTTATCCTACAGAATTACGTGGTGCTTCTGGATTCTACATTATCAAAATCACAGTATGATTACACCCTTCCTCAAGTTTCGTTCACTGCCGTTGGATACCATAAACACATTACATTGATCTTTAGTCCTTCTGTAAGTACAAAATATTTTAACATGTAACACAAGTATTCATATTAAGAACAATTCCTGGATATTGTAGCCTGCATATACTTTGGGGTTTTGGCCTTTCTATTTATGTAAATATAAAAGTTTTATTGGAGGCATTGATGTGGTAGTGAGTTTGGTTTTGGCCATATTTAAGGCTTCAAATGATGATGTAGTAATCTGATATATTGTGGGAGGCGAACAGGGATTTAAGGAACCAGAAAGGTAGGATTGTTGCAATAATTCTTTTAAGGACCTTCTCCTATATGAGAGAAGTGTTGCCAGGCCAAAAGCTTTTCCTTATAGGAACTAAMAAAAGAGTAAAGCAGAGAGACTAATATGAGAAGAAAATTTCTCCCTTGCGAGAAGGAATGGCTTTTTGCACTTCCAAGCTGAACAGCRCAATCAGTTAAATCAGGTGTTCATTCTTGTAATAATTAAATGATGTATCTCTTCTCTGCATCACTGCACGTTCAGATGCCAATGAAACATGAAGGAAAAATGCAATGGCAGTTATAAATGAAGGATGCAGATAGCCTGAATGATTTTGTGATGCTGTGGTTGCTGTAGTGTTACCACTGACATCACAGAGATTTTGGTAGCAAGTAACAAGTAAATCCAAGCACACCAGACTGATAGGAAAGTGGTGACCCTTTAGGGTGGCCATTCCCATGACAGGAAAGTGACCATCAATGAATTAGCTTTTAAAACAAAAACAAACAAAAAAATAAGGGCAGCAGATGTAGGAATCTGATCAATGGGACTGCTTTGGAAGTGAAGGTYGCTTATATCTTCACGTGGTGCTTGGAAAGAAGTTACTGGGGAAGGGATGAATATACCATGCAAACCTATTGTTGAAGTGATTTAAAGTTGGCAGATWTCATAGTCGGAACAAGCCATTTAAAATCCATTGTGTTCCCACTGTTTTCAGAGAAAGCTGCCTGAACAAGATATTGCCCAAGGTTCTTACATTGCGCTGCCCCTGACACTCCTCCTGTTGTTGGCTGGCTACAACCATGATAAGGTAGGGTTTGTGGTGTGCTCACCTTATCTTAGTATTGTTGACCTATCCATGAATATATTATACTGTGTAAAATGAAGGTTTGTTGAGGTATATGTCTGAACAGAAATGTACTCAGCAATCACATTATATGACAATTTCAACGCAATAAAAGAAAAAAAGTCAACTTTCTGGACAATTACCTTCCTTTTAAAAATGCCAGTGTGGAGTTGAGTTTCTGTGCTTTTTTTGAATTATGTATTGCACTTGACAGCTATGGAAAAGCGAGTAGAACAGCTTTCAAATTCAGATACCCATACTCTGATAATATGAACAAAAAGATTGCTGGCTTCAGGAATGGTGGATAGGAAAAAAATCTATGCAGGTCATCAACCTGATCTCTAGCTTTACACCCTCTTTGGTGTAAAATGCTCAAGCAATAAATAAAGYAACCAGATTAGCCTCTGTGGCTTTGCTAACAAGCCTAACGCTTCTASTTTCCTCTAACATTATTGAATTTCAGTTTTGCTGTTAACGGAAAATAAATTTGTGCAGTTTGATTTCCTTTCTCAAATATRAGTAGACAGAACAGATCATGGGATTCTCAGGATTTTCTGGTGATACTGATAACTGTCTCCTCTGAAAGTATTTGGATATCTTCAAGTTTCAGTACTCAGTCTTTTTCTTGGTTCGGAAAATGGGACAGCCACATTAGTTTTTGATCAGAAATTTCCAGAAGGTTGGGATTTGACTCCCCGAGACATTGGCTGCTCTTCTGACTCAGTTGTAGAGGTCATGTTTATGCAATATCATGCAATATCAACAGAACTGTTGAAATTGGAAGGGACCTCTGGAGATGTAGTCCAGATCTTCTGTTCAAATTACCCTCTTCAAGGAGGGTAATTTGTCTGAAGACATGTGAGTCTAAAACATATTAATTCAGACTTTCTGTTCCATTGRAATCACTTGTTGCTTCCTCCCTCCCCCTTTTTTGCCCAGCTTATTCCTTTGCTGCTGCAGCTGACAACTCGACTGCAAGGAGTACGTGCACTTGGACAGGCAGGTTCCGACTCAGGTGGTCCAGAAGATGTAAAAAGACAAACAAAGAAACAGAAGACAAGACGGACGTGAGATGGGAGGGATGGCTGTGTGAAATGGTGCTCCGTTAAACTGGAGCCTGGGGAAGCAAAGCCACTAAAACGYTTTTTTGATAAATTTGTGAACTTCACCTTTTCATGGTTGCTACATGAGCTCTATATGTCACACTAGTTCCATTTTGGTTGTAAATTTTCTATGKTTTCTATAGATTTCGTTGTTAAGAAATGAATGCCTTTGTTGTCACTGTGAATGAATCTCCCATACTTGAAGACGACGGATTTTTTTTTCCAGTGGAACGGGTTGTGCTGTCTTCATTAAACCCTTGTAAAGGCAGTAGTAATAAACCTCTTTATTTAAATTTAAATCTTTTGGGGGATCATTTTTCCTTACCTTTAGAAATACTCARTTTCAAGAAGCAGCACATAGGGATTCTACCAAATCAATAGTGCTTCAAAGCAAAGTTTCATTGGGACACACAAGTCACGAGTCAGCTGGTGAATCGTCTGTGGTGCTCACAGTTTGGCTACTTGACTGAAGAATCTTCAACACRTACAGGTCCATTGCAGACTGTAATAGGTAAGTTTATCCCTAGCTATCTTTTCTTGTTTGAAATAGACAGTTAGAYATGCGCAGTTTAAATGTTAATGGGGCTTTTTATTGACAAATAGTATAAAGGTTAACAGCTTTGAAAGATGCTCATAAAGGCCTATGAATGTTACAAAGATGCTCCTACTGCCAGTAAGTGGCAATGTTTCTCTCTTGTAGGACTTAAAGTCCTGTTATGCTTAAATATTTAAGCTTACACACCCTACTGTTCTTAGAAACTTGGATGCTAGAGGTTTTGTGCGATTTTGCTAGTGTTCTTGCATTAATATGAATCTAAATAATTAGAAGCTATTTCTAGTCAGTGATCATTTTTCTTGAACTTAGGTCATTAAAACAATCTGAGGGGAAATTTTATCAGAAACACAGTAAAGATGAATGTTGGGAAAGCAAGTAGAGAGTTTGAGATGAAACTCTAATACACTATCATGCTTTCTAGTTAATGACATTAAATTTTTTATATTGCTGTAATGAAATCTAGAAAAATAAGAAGTTTCTAGGATTTATAATAAATTCTAAAATGTCATACATCTTTATTTTAGAATGGTGCATATTGATAGAGGAAYAGTTTAGTTGGGGGAATATATGAGGAAAAAATGCACATTTCCATGGGACTTGAGGGACTACCACCTTTGCTGATTTGTGAACTCCTGGACTTGGTGATGATTGATAAAACTTTGGAAAGAGTCTTATGAGAGGAGGCTTTAATCCCTGCTACCTCATGCAAGTAAGCAAATTGGTTTAAGTAATATCCATTTCCCTACTGGATCTTTCAGTATTTCCCATGAAAATCAACAGTTGCTGCAACCTTTGTTTTCATTGTTGCATCTTTGAATTGTTTTATGTTAACACAGAATTAAATGCAAAATGGAGACTAACATTTAAATGTTGGCTCTTACTTGAAAACATCTGAGCTTCAGTGTATGTTGGTTTTTTGGGTTTTTTGGAGACATAACAGTAATAATGATTAATCCATTTGCCTGGTGAGCAAATTAAATATCTGAATCATGTTGAAAATGAAAATAAGGCTCTCCAGATAAAGGTAGCATTGAATGCTATTTGTTTGTTTTTCGAAAGCAGAAGTGAATGTTACATGTATTTGATCACCTCATCAGTGATGCACAGAAATCTATTATTTGAGTGAAATAGATCATTAATACCAAATTTAACAATTTGTTTATAGAAGATGATGCAGCTTAATTTCTAAAGCACCCTCTTTATTAGATGGTTGTCAGATCAAGTCAGTTTCCAAGATAAAGTATTTCAGCTGCATGAGTAATGATGTTGTTAAGTAAAGATGCAGTGCTTAAAATCAAGGAAACAAATACTTAAAATGGAGAAATAAGCTTTCTCAGGCAAAGGTGAAGCACAGGTTTCTTCAGTCATAGGTYTCAACAATTCTGAGGTGTGCTATAACAGAAGATATGTAGTTGTCAATACAAGTTCTTGAGACTGTTCATTTGCTTAATTATGTTTATAGGGCAGAAAATGATAATTTACAATGAAATTGGGTCTGCAGATCTCTTGGAGGTCAAAAAGAGGGTGAAGTGTCAGATGTGGCAGCCAGCTCAGCTGCTGCTGACCTGACTGCCYGCCCCTCTTCCCAAGATCCAGGTAGGATCCTTGCAAACTTCTCTRACTCACTAAAGAAAGAAAAAAGAAATAAGTCAACACTATGGTATTATCCTTAGATATATTGATCTTTAGCAAAAGGGAAAACAGTGCTGTGGACCTTGAGCATCCCTTACCCCGTCCCTATTATCTGATACTCCAGTTCCTGTTGCTCTTCTTTTTGTGAATATTGTTTTGTGAATATTGTTCTTTACATATTAAAAGTGCAGCTATAGGAACAGCTATCTTCTTAAAAAGGAATGAGCACCCCAATAAGCCCCATATTAGAGAAACATGGACTAAACGCTCCGAATTTTGAAGGTAAGAAAATTACTAAACACTGAAGTATCTGACTTCCGAGAGACCTGAGACTGACTGGAATTGAGCCCTGAGATGATTAATGACTAATTTGCCTGCCCTTCAGTATTGCTTGGTGTACACTATCTATACTTATATCATTTTTATTTTATCAATCTGAAAGTAATTTAAGTTGGGCGTAACTTAAAGGTAGCAATTGCAATAAAAGTAATTTACTTGCAATGAAATCAGTAGTGTGGAGGATGTCTAAAGGATACCAAATTTCCTGAGTTGTGCTTAACGGTGCTAGCCCACATCATGAAAAATGATTGTTTTGTGTTCGGTTAGTCATGTTTTCCTTAAAGACATATTAGTGGGTACAGAAAATCTGTAGAAGTCCCTGAAAATCCATTTTTAGGGTGTTATTGACTGATGCTAGAATTCTGTGTTTTTTTAATTTTAAAAGACACCAATGAGTTTAATCTCTGCCATTCACCCATTTAAACTCAGAACAGGCCTGAATGTTCTTGTTCAAAGGTATTGCAGATATGCAGTAATTAGCATTCCCTGAGCATTCATCGATTATTAGCAAGAGCAACTTTTCCCCTTGAATATTTTACAAWGGTTTTTGAGCTTTTTACATCAGCTAGCCTGCTTGTTCTCTCAGTTTTCTATTATTCCTTCTGTAATTGCTTTCTGTCTATATTTGATAAGTATTTGCCTTACTCTAGTAACTTCCATTATCACTTATAAGTGTTTGCTATTACTAGGAGCAACATGATTGTGTTATTTACTCTCTTTGCTTTAAATACTATCCTTGTTCTCCCCCTTCTCTTCTCACCCCCCAATCTCTTTCCTAGGAATATTTAACAACTTGATGTTGTCTCAGATCTTATTTTAAATAGTTCATATGTTGTTCCCTTCATAGGTTAAGACCATGATTGCTTTCAGTCCAATGATATATTATCATAAAGCACTAAACACCCACCAGACTATTACTGAATTTATCATATCTAAAAGCTCAGTAAACACTGAAAGATAAATCTGTTTYTACTGACTGCAGGAGTCAGCATGTTGATTCTTTCTCTAATTCTTACTCCTATTCATAATAGAATAATGAAATCCCCATCATGAAAACTCTATAGTTTTTTCACAGGTCTCTTGTCTTTCATCACAGTGAGTATAAGTACTTTGATTTTTTTTCTTTTGTAATATATGGGGTTTTTGATAAACCACCAACAAATTCCAACTCCAAGTTTTCCTGTTGTCAGTTGGAAAAGAAAATAATAGGTGCTTAAGTAAGACTTATGTAAATGAAGAACTTTGTTCCTATGGACTCTGTGATTTTTTTCTTTGTTACAGTGSTTGCTACACTACTCTCATTAGAAAGAAAATATGTATTGTCCTGTCTGTCCTGAAGGGCATTCACCTTCTGAGAGTAGRTAGGAAGGAATGGGATGCCCCCAGGTATTTCTTTTCCTTTCCTCAACACATATGATGTATGATAGATATAGATGATTTCTTTTATCAGACAAGATCAAATGTTTATCAAATGCACATATCCAGGCTTGAGGTTGATGGTGTTTCCTGCCATGAAGATATGCCTGACAGTTTAACTAGCACCTGGGATTCCTGGCCTGTCTGATACAGCCTTCTCTGACACTGGAAGAGTGAAGCCCTGTATGTGCAGTTTGGCCCTGTGAGCTCAGAACCACAATCTCAGCCATGTTSTTAGTATGAACTTCCTACTGCACATTGCCCTGTTGGGTTGAAATTGGGGACATTTTGCCATGGGTGAGCAAGTGTGAACAAGTGTGCACACACAGCATTTCTGCCTGAGAGCTTCTCCCAACCGAAGTGCCAGTCCTTGCAAAAGCCCATGGAGGGACTGGAGTGTCAGGCAGGATGTGCTAGCAACGCTTGAGCAATAGATCAGTCCTGATCAGTGTCCAATCGGGACACTGAAGCCACAGTCACTTCTCGGAGGAGAAGGAGGAGTTGAAAATCAAGCAATAATAATTTAAAAAAAAAAAAAAAAAAAAAAAAAAGCTCTTGGTCCTTGAAACATGGTTTCAGCTCTCCCTCCTGTAAAATGTTTCTTGCATAGATCCAAGCTCAGATCTGGACTTCTTTATAAAGAGGGCTTTAAGCTTTAGGTTTGTTTATGTAGCACTTATGCTGTATAGACAAATCTACAGCAAAAAAAAAATGCCAAATAATGAAAAAGTTCAGCTTTTCAATAAACAAAACAGTCTCTACAATTAGCAGGTTTCTTTTTTTTTATAGCCCTAAGTCTTTCAAGTAGTAGCTGAGTAAATATAGAAAGGAGGTGTCAAGAAAGTTGAAAGACAAAAGTCACAAATGTATTAGGTTGTTTAGCTTTTATTCTTTATTTTTGCTATGCAGTGTTTCTCTTCTCCATCAAACTAATTACGGAAAAACTCCATCCATAAAGCACTGCTTGAGCTTACTGCTAGGTCAATGAGCCYGTGTTATTTCTGGTAGTGAATGCTGTCTGTGAT